CCATCTCCAGAGTTCAAGATCGGGCTCGACTTCGTCTCAGGCCTGTACTTCGCCGCCAACTCCCTGCCCGCCTTCCATGATCCCGCCTCCAACATCTGCGGCAATGACAACTGCACAGCCCCAAACTTGCCGCTCTGCAGAATCCGCTCGTGTAGCTTATCAAGCAACGCAACAGTCATGGCCCGCCACTCTACAATCTCTCCATCTGCAACGGCAAAGCACGGAAGGCTTCCGCCTGAGGTCCGTAGTCCACGCTCTTGCGCCTCGGGCTTAAGTGTCAATACGCCCATGTCTATGAATAATCCTCCGTTACGGTACTCCGGGAGTCCGGTTCCCAGCTCTGCGTTTTGCCATTTTAGGGACAGAAGTCGCTCGAATGGAACTTTGAGAGAGTATGCGAGCCACTGTGTGAGCTTGTGGAAGGGTTGAATACTGTCTGTAGTTGAGGATAGTGATTGCTCTGCGAGCACGGCGAGTGGCCAGGCGTCGCCGATGGGGTAACCGTTCACTTTGGTGCGGTCGGATGGCCAGATGGGAATGAGTGTTTTCTGTAGGACATCCCAAAGAACCAAGTAATCGATGGAGCCTTTGCTCATAGCAAGGAGGTAGTCTGTGGTGTCTCGTTAGTCGCTATGTACTCTAAAGCGCCTATGTTAACTGACCTGCGATTTGCCCTGGACGGCCGGACGGGCCAAAAATCTCAGGGAGGTTTCTCAACGACTCGCCCAGTCGTTGGAGAATTTGGACCCGGGCAGAAGCTCCAAGAAGTGGGTTGCTGGAATCATCGACTTGAAAGCCGCGAAGTAGTGTGTCCACACTGAGGGTCCGCAGGGCCTCTCCTATTGTTCATCGTGAGCAATGACATATCCCTGCCGACACCGCAGACAGCACGTACCATGTACCACATCCTTCCTTTCAGATCCCTTGTTGGCAAAGTCACCGTTCAAGAACATATACAGCGATGCGACCGCAATACCCTCGCTGCGGGTGAAGACGGCCCCGGTCTCTTTCTCCACATAACGCCAAGTATCTCCCGCACCGGCATCGAGAAGCACGGAGACGAAGAATAGATCCAACAGACTTCTGACTTTCTCTTTATCATCATATCCGGATGCGTCCCATCGCTCGATCAGTTTCTGGATTCGAGGTACGCCGCCTACGTCGAAGTGCTGCCAGCGACCGTGGGGAGGGATTTGGTTGTAGCGGTCCGGGCCGAAGTCGCGCTGAGGAGATGGTTAGGATGGTTTATAAATGTATAAGAGGCTATTTACCTGGATTATACCTGCAACGTAGTCTACGGTCGCATCGAGACGCTCAGGGTGGTAGTCGTAGTGGTGCAGCTTTCCTTGTTCAGCGAGGCGGAAGACGATACTCGCTCTCTCGCGTACGGCTTCCAGACGAAGCAAGTGTCTGGTATTGGAGTCCATCGTGTTTCCTTAGCCAGATGATGCAATTTTCTTGCAAATTTTCGAGTGTACTTTGAGAACTTCTCTTCTTGTCTTGATACAAAGAGAAGATAGACGTGTTGTCAACAAAGAATGTTACACTGGATGAGGGGATGAGCACAACAAAGCGGGGAAGGCGCTTATCGCCTCGGCTGATACGGTATCTTATCTGATACCAGCGACGATAACCGCCTAGTGAAGATGGGCGGAACAACTATGAGATCGGAGGATGCCACAGTGATCATATCATTCTGTATCTTAACAAAGTCAACATATTTATAGCAGGGCATATCCACTACATTGCACGTCAAGCATACATTTCCATTCATTTCTCTTCTCGTTACATCAATACAACCTACTGTACCCATCATGACAGTCACACTACCCGCCAATGTTGATCAACCTCAAAATGATACTTTCACATCCCTTCTCTCACAACTCAGGGATCGATCCCTCAAGCCCTCCAAAGTACGCAGCCTAGTGCGCGACATGACAGCAACCATGACAAAGAGCCTGCACGTCGACGTACCCAAAGATGAAACGATAGCTATCATCGTGGTGCTACGCTCCGGTCTCGCTATGTTCGATGGTTTCGTCGACAACATTCCAGAAGATGTGTCGACAACCGTCTATCACATGGGTATATTCAGGGACCAGGCGTCGTTGCAGCCGGTTGAGTACTACAATAAGTTACCCGTGAAGCCGGCGCACATCAAGCAGGCTTATATTTTGGATCCGTTGATTGCCACGGGTGGTACAGCCGCTGCGGTTATTAGTATATTGAAGTGAGTTTCAAGGTTACTGTAATGTTCTGATTAGTCACTAATTATGTCAGGGATTGGGGAATCGAGAAGGTTACATTTCTCTCTATGCTGTCTACACCGGTTGGTCTGGGACATGCAGCTGCCGTGTGGCCCGAGGGTAGCCGATTTGTGGTGGGTGCAATTGATCCTGACGTGGATGCGAAGGGGTATGTTCAGCCTGGAGTTGGGGATATTGGGGATAGGCTCTATGGAACAGCATTTGATTAGAACATTTACGTAATAGAATTGTACAAGATCGTGAAGTTTACATTTACACCTTCGCTCTTGCCAAATAGAATACAATCTATATTCTTTTCTCGCCCTTCGATCGCTTCAGTCAGTTGACCGTATGGAATCAGAATCAAATGTTTGGCATTGCAGACAGTTCTAGACATCCGGAGGTCCTAACACATATTCTATGTCAACTGCTCAAGATCAAGAATAGGCCCAGAAAGCTAGCCTGCTAAACAGCACTATACGTTCAGACACGGCTTAAAATTACAATCTTATCAATAAAGTACTAGCCATTCCCTTATATAAAGCGAAAGAATATTTACAAATCCCCGGGAATCTAAGAACCAACCCGTCACCTGTACACCTCAGTAGACAGCCTAAACCCTATAGCGAGCCCAATTCCACTCCTAATGAGTCGTTCCATAGTACCTGTCACCAAAGTCTCCCAGACCAGGACTAATGTAGCTAAAGTCAAGTCAGCAACCGATTTACTTCAAGTCAAATAAGCACACTTACTTCTGAGCAGTCAATTCCGCATCCACCGCCGCAGCAACAACCTTCAGGCCCGGAAACCTGCCAGAAATAACATCCAGTCCCTTTTGCGACGACACCACATTAACAAGAACAATAGATTCCTCAGGAACACCATTTCTCGTCAAGTTCTCAACAGCTTTGATCACAGATCCGCCTGTCGCAAGCATGGGTTCCAGGAGCAGGACGACTAGATCATTGTTAGTGTGTTCTACTTTCCTGACAACCAATACTTCATCACAAGAAAAGATAAAACATACTATCATCCGTAATCCCCGCCGGCAACTTCGAGTAATAGATCTTGGCGATGCTAGTCTCCTCATCGCGCTGGATGAGCAGCTTACCGAAACTAAGGGGTCCACTGCGCATCCTTATTCAGCACACTTGAACACTCTCCAAATACAGAAAGGAAAACTCACGTCCAAGTATCCCGCAGCGCCTGTTCCATACAGGCACCGGCACGGAGGATACTGACACCGCAAACACCCTTCGTGAACCGGATTCCGGTGTAGGGCTTGTTGATCGGGGTAGTGACAGTGTACTCTTCTGCGGGGACGTGGCCCAATGCTGGACATTTACATAAGCCGTTGTTCCAATGATCAAAAGTTCATTGGATATAGAGTAATACTCACCGGACGTAATCAACCGGCGCACAACCTTCTCCACAGCAGCGGAAAAGTCCCGATCATTGGTATTCACGTCCCGGATAATGGTCATCAAATTAAGTAGAGACCGGTCCTGTTCCAGGACCGTGATGCGGTCCATTTGGGTAGTCCAGGCTGCTGCGCCAGAGGATTCCATGGCGTGGATTTAAGTTTGGACTATTTTTTCGATTGGCCGGAAGTGGGCGGAGTGATGGTTGAGGTGTTGTGATAAATTGTTGATTGAAATGGATAATTTGGGCCACTCGGTGGATAGGACTGACTATATGGTATAGATTGAACGACTTTGGGCTTAGTCTCGACCGGCGCTGATTTAGTCGCGTGCTTTACGCCTATCGTGTGAAAGAAAGGCGGAGTGAAAATTCGGAGGGAAAAAAGCGCGGGGTTTTGCGGTGCGAAAGGACGATAAGATAAGCGGGGTGAGGATCTAATCTAATCTTATCTGGGTTGGGTGTTGGGCCTGGGAGGAGTGCTCCGAAGAGTTCTTGTAACGGTCGCTGTTGTCCAGAAAGAATGATAAAGTGCTGAGTCGCAACTTCTATGATATTACAAGCACTCAACATGGTACCTGAGAGAGTGCAGTCGTAATGGCTACCATATGACTCACCCTACGCTCCGACTCCTAGGTAATTGGAACTTAATATATTTCTGTTGGTAATGAAGATAGTAGGCCTGGAAGAGTATGAAGAGTGGCAGAAGCCATCTATGTGATAGCACGAAGCTTCACTCAAGGAAACATTAGCTTGAAAAAGATCTCAAGTATTGCTCGATGTTCTCGGAATGATCGCAGAGTATCGAATGAAGAGCTGTCTACGCAGGTAATCAATATGCAGCTTCTTGGCAGCTTGTAGCGGTTCTCTACTTCTGCGCATCACTTGAATATCTTCAGATGCCCGTTTAAGCTGAACTGATCGCTGTTGAGAAAATGATGCACTGAAAAGGCTAGAAATCTTCTTAACCGGTATCCCGAGGTAATACCATTCTTGAATTGTGATAAATGGTGGTTCTGCTTAGATGCATAGATTTGAATGGTGAAGAAGTTTTCGTGCTCATGACAGGCATATATCTGAGGCCGAGAGCCTCATGGACCCATTTTGTATATAGAACGACAAGACACGCAACTATACCCAACAGAGCATCACCTGTGCGCTTATCAAGGCTATTTACGTAGCAGCTCGCTTATCAGTAAACATGCGCACAGACCAAGCAGCAACCCCAAGTGTGATAAGACAGCCAGTATCTACCAGATCGCCAGATAATCATCGCCACCATAATCCGATAATCTCTATCTAGTGATTGGATTCCCAGAATCTCCATACGATAACATGCCTCGAGCATCAAGCGCCTCATCTGGTCGCTCTAGATTCACACCGTTCCCCGCCGCCTCGCCCGCTTCTAGCGATGGTACCACAGTGTCGGGGCGCGTGCGCCGGCGGATCTCAGATGTAGGTTGCTCCAGTTCAATACACTGATAAGAGTGGAATAATCCATGCTGATGACATTGTGGAGATAAGACCCGTCGTGATGGGCTAAGTTCCCGATCCAGTCGTGCTGAAACCGTACCGGTTGGAGAAAGTGATGCATCCGACCGGGAGGAACCACTGCCGCGGTCGCAGTCTGGGCCGACTATCACGCATCTTTTTATTAATAATGAATCAGTGATGTCTAGGTCGCAGAACTGGACAACTGTGTTGGATCCGGTATTTGTCTTGATCAACCTCAGTTTATTGCTACTAGTGCTAACGCGATGGACAGGTCTCACAACGCCTACTTTGCAGGGTCCCCGGGAGTACACTTCAGGAAGTACAGCGGGCTGTTGGGGCTGCTGAAGATGCCCAGCCTGGATGGGCTGCTTTGGGGTTTCAAGTGAGGCGTGAGCATCTGCTGAGACTAGTGGATGTACTAAGACAGATGTCTCCTGAAATTGTGAGCAAGCAGCCGCAACAGCTGACTGGCAAAGGAGCTGAACTAACACATCACAGGTGACCTGTTTATCTCGAGAGGTTGGAAAGACCCTAGCCGATGCAGACGCAGAAGTCTTCCGCGGTTTGGACTGCATACATGCTGCATGCTCGATTGGGCCTGAAATGGCCGGCATGTTCTTAGGAGGCGATGCAACGTTGCTGCAAACGTTCTACGAGCCAGTTGTAGGTTGGTACTAACAAGATACGGACAAGCTACTAACAGATTCCCACAGGGCGTCTGTGTGTCAATCACCCCTTTCAGCTTCCCCTTCATGATTCCCTTGTGGTCGCTTCCGTACGCGCTCATCACCGGCAATACAGTTATCCTGAAACCCTCGGAGAAAACACCTACTACGTCTTCATTACTAGCACAGGCATTCGTAAAGACTGGCTTCCCACCTGGAGTCTTCAATGTGCTTCACGGCGGTCCATCGACCGTTCAGATGCTTGTGACTCAACCAACGGTTCAAGCGGTGAGTTTCGTCGGGTCAGAGTCTGCTGCTAGGCAGGTCCATGACTTGGCAAGGGCTGCAGGGAAGCGAATACAAGCAGAGTGTGGTGGCAAGAACCATGGGGTTGTCCTAGAGGATGCCAATATGTCCTCGACGCTGTTTGCGATTGCTGGAAGTGCCTTTGGAGCTGCGGGTCAGCGATGTATGGCCTTAAGCGTAGCAGTGTTTGTTGGTGCGACGAGAGACTGGGTTCCTAGGCTGGTCGAACTGGCACAGTCGATGGTGGTAGGATGTGGAGGGGATCAGGAGTCTAAGATCGGGCCTTTGATCGACAAAACAGCCAAAGCAAAAGTTAGTGAGATGATCCAGCGAGCAGTTGAGGAGAGAGCAACGGTTCTTCTGGACGGTCGGGATATTGAGGTCCCCGGCTATCCGGATGGCAACTTCATGGGCCCAACCATACTCGGGGACGTGCAGACGTACATGGAATGTTATCAGGCGGAAATATTTGGACCGGTACTCATCTGCATGGAGGTGGACACCCTCGAGGAAGCGATCGATTTGATTAATCAGAATAAATGTCAGTCTCCGATCATTCTGTGAATGAGGACATGGATTGCTGATCCGATCATAGATGGTAACGGATGCTCCATATTTACCACCAGTGGAAAGCATGCAAATACGTTCCAACGCGGCGTCAATGTTGGACAAATTGGTGTCAACATCCCGTTGATCGGTATGGCTGTCCCTACTTCCGTGGCGCAACCAATCCCTGACAGTACAACAGCGCCATATGGAACCGCGGTCCGAACGAGCAACAAAGATTCTTTTCTGGGTGGTGAGTATCCAGGCACGCTGATGGGAGAAACTCTAACCTGTCCAGACCGGCATTCCCCTGGAAAGACATATTGGCCATTCTTCACAACAACAAAGACGGTGTCATCGCGATGGGATCAGTGAGCGCTGAGGAGTGCTCTCGGTATGCAGCAGATGAAAAGGGTTGGTCGGGGAGATCGGGTATGAGTCGCTTTTCCACCGTGAGGTGGAATGCAATGCGAAATGGAACGCATTGGCATCCTGCTCGTCAATGAACTTATCGAGGTCTGATTGGATGCATTACGGTCGTGGTAGAGGAGTATAAATGTCGATGAGCCGAGGCGCGGACTATGCTACTTGTCGAGGTGTGTGCCGGATGACAGGCCGACCGATGAACGATAAACAACAGGTCCGACCGGTAGGTAGATTCAACACTGCTGGGAAATGAGCCCTGAGGAATATTAATCTAACTGTACTTGAAAGTTGAAGACACTTCTCACCCTCTCCAACATTGCACCGTACTAGAAAGAGTATGAGTCACGTAGTTTCCTCGCCGTAATCGAAAAAAATTCAGTTACATAAAGTGCGTTATGCAAGATCACATACGGGAGATCTTCGCTACATCAAACTCGTCCAGCTCGTGGCCATTGAGGCTTGGGATGACTGCTCAGGGTCACAAAACACCAACTTGGTATCACCTAACGAGCAAACAGATACGTGCTCGGCTCTACATCTGGCTGCTAGAGCTGTCGATGAACTTTCCGACCTGGAAGACAGGCCCTGTCGACATCTGGACGACGCGCGATGACACCTCACGAAGGACCATGATAGCCTTGCGGCAACACGAGTAGATGGGCTAGGCTGGGTCCGAACCGATCCGACTATAACCCCTTTTGGATCTAAATTGGATGCCAAATTCTCCAGCCGATGAAAACTCTAAAGATCAGCAGTACTAGTACGCATAGTCGGTAAACTGTAAGACGCCTCCAAGGCTAATTGGAAAAGTCATTGCTGCTGTCAGTTCGGCAGATAGCTCCCTCGTGATCTATGCCTATAGCTGTCACGAGCTCATGGGCGATTGCCGACATTGCTCCACTATGGAGTACCCCTGACAGAACCTAATCATGATCCAGAAGTCGAGATGTCTGGTCCCGGTACATCCGCTGCGGACGGGATGTGGATCTTGCCTGAAGATCGCTAGACAGTACCAACTGCACGGAGAATATTATGAGGGCTAGTTCCCACTTGCTGCCCTTAGTGTCAGTTGTCCTTATCTGGAGATTTTTATTTTGGTCCGTGAATTATTTCCGACTTTGGTTGGGATCCATTTGCCCTGGTCCCGTCACCCGCAAACAGCTTCAATCCATGTCTGCTCGAATGTGAGACCCCGTTCCCGTCCCCTAGAGTTCAATGGCGTCTTCAGGATGATTAGTCAAGCAGGTGTTCTCTTCTATCCGATTTTGCCCGGATCGCAGCCGCAATAACGAGGTAGCATCTAGCTAATTGATTAACTCTTTTGCTTGACGTCAGCGTAAGCAGGCCCAATAAGGAAGGGTACCCGACCCGAGTGAGTCAGGTGCGCGTCATGCGTCAGCACAACTCCAAACCAACTACATCTCATTATCGACAACAAGTTGCCAGGCTTCTTATAAAAGGTAGTGAGAAGAAGTATCTCCCCTTGTTCCCGCTTGTTAACTAGAGTATCATACTACTCTTCCTAACCATCCATCATGCCCACTCTTAGCCAGGTTCGTCAGTCCAACACAGCTCTGGGCGCTCAACGCCAAAAGATGGTCGCGGTCTTCGTTGGAGGCACCAGTGGCATAGGAGAGGCAACAGCCAAGCAGATGGCGCTCGCTGTGAAACAACCAACCATCCACTTGGTTGGCCGGAATCCCGCATCCGGTTCCAGAGTCCTAGAGGAGCTCCGGGCTTCCAATCCAAACGGATCATTTCACTTCATTCAATCGGATGTCTCACTTCTGCGCAGTGTTGACAAGGCCTGTGCGGAAATTACCGACAAGGAAAAGCAAATCGATCTCCTCTTCATGTCCACCGGCCACCTCTCTCTTTCGAAAAAGGGTAAGTAGCAGAAATAACCTCATCCTGGTCAGTCGGGACGGCTACAAACGCTACTCCGACAACCCCAACACCCCTGTACCCTACTAGTGCTGACAGCGGGGACCCACACACAGAAACCGATGAAGGACTAGACGACAACCATGCCCTTCGTTACTACTCCCGAATGCGCTTCGTGCAGAACCTGATGCCTCTGCTCAGTGCCTCCCCCGGTCCAGCCAGGGTCGTATCCATCCTAGCAGGCGGCCAAGAAGGCACCATCGAAGAAGACAATTTCGACCTGACAAAGTCATGGACCTTTTCGAAATCAAACACATACGCCGCCACACTAAACTCCTTAGCGATAGAGCATCTAGCCACCGCCCATCCGACCGTAAGCTTTCTACACGTCTTTCCGGGAATTGTACGGACTCCGTTGATGAACGCCACCTTCGGAAACTTTGGCGGGGCTATCCTAAGCTTTCTTTCTCGTCCGATTTCCATCACGCCGGAGGAGAGTGGTGAGCGTAATCTGTTTCTCTCGACGTCGGCAGCTTATCCTCCCGCCACGCCCAAAGATCCCTCACATCTGGGGGTTCCCTTGGTCAGTGGGGTGGACACAGCACCTGCGTCAACTGGCAAAATTGGAGGAGGCTCCTATATTCTCAAATACGATGGGAGCAATGCAACTCGCGAGAAACTGATGGCTGATTATCGAGCCCGGAGTTTCCCTGGTAAGGTTTGGGATCATACACTGGAGACTTTCAAGCGGGTGCTACGGTCGGACTGATTATGACGGCTTTCATGCGGTTTTTTTTCTTTTCTTTTTCTTTTTTTTTTTTTTTTTTTCTTCCTCCCTTTACTTTCCCTAATTTTGCGTCGTCATGGACGGTGTTTAACTTTACATAACCGAGTTTGCCGTCGGATAGGCCAACGCCCATGTTCGTAACCTCATCTACCCAAAATTGAAGTTCGTACTTTGTCTATAAGCTACGTTCAGGACTCTGACCCGATGATGGAAATAGTAGCAGAGGGTCACACGGTCGGATATGGCTTTCCGAACGGGCAACAATTGAGCCGGCTCAATAACAGATGAAAGAAAGAAACATTATAGCAAGACGCAGCCGAACTATAAATAGAATATTTATGTTTGAACAATCAACCAAGGGTATACGGAGGAGAATAAAGAACAGGCCACTAAAGAGAGGGGAACGAGGGCTCCTGGATGATTTAACCACTCTCTTTCCACTCCTAACTAGGCCGACCGATGTAGTTGTCGTACATTTAGTGAACTTAGAAAGGAAAGTTAGGTAACGTGTTGTAATATATGCGTAGTATGGCAATTTCCAGATGACAATATCACAGTGATAAGCAGAGGAAAAGGGGGGAAAGACAGGAAGAACAGAAGGAACAAAATGCGGAGAAGGAAAATAAAAAAAGTTAAGGTAAAATTTCCAATCTAGATGTAAGTGCCAAAGAAAAGAGTTTGGTCCTTGGTTCACTCGTCCACCTTGGAGTTTGAATCGCTGCCATCATGATCATGATCATCATCATCATCATCATCATCATCATCATCATCATCCCCAAACGAAGGGTCCTTCTCACAGGCGTTTTGACAGATAAACCGGCCACCGCACGGGCAAGCCCGAGGTCCGTCTGCAGCAAATACAATGTGGGCAAAATAAATCGCTGGATAGAGAATGGTGTCGCCCTCCTCAGCCTTGGGAACCTTTTTATCCAGTCGCTGTTGTAAATCCTCTTCACTGTCATTCCTATGAGAATATCGGATTTCACCTCGGAGTTGCTTCAACTCATCGATATCGTCCGAGGTCACCAGATAGCGACCTGAGACAAGAGGAAGGCTCAGTAGCACTGGGCCAGGCCATTCGTCAGGATAGATTTCATCGGAAAACCCTCGTTTCCGGACTCTCGCTCTGCGATGCAACAAGGGCCCACACCGCCTCACATCAAGCTCAAACTCAAATTCTGTGTCTAGAGTCCCCAGGTAAACGGAAATTTCAATTGCAGACCGGTAGACTTCGACGAGCCTTTCGTATCGTCGCGCAACATCATCTGGACCGGTTGTATCCTTCAATAACACCTGCAATGATTTACACTCCGTAAGCATACCTGTAGCGAGTCGACGAGCGAGCGAATCCTGCGCCTCGCCAGTTCGGTATGCAACCACCCAGTCATTTGTATGTTTGGGGTGGACTTGGTTCAGGAGCTGGGTTGTCGTTTTCCGCCAGTCGGATGCTCTGACTGGGTCAACTGCGGCATAGACAAAAGATTTAGTCCACCAAATAATGGAGTTCAATTATAAAGAGATGCGATAGTTTGTGGCACTTACCTTTGGCTAGCTTTTTCCAAAGTCCCCAAAGTTCCTGCCCAAATAATGGTGGCTCCATGCTTGATTGACCACCAGTGTTCTCTCTACTGCCCTCAATATAGACAAAAGGATTAACGATCACATTCTCAAACAGGTGCTTCATTAATACCGCTTCCGGCAGCCGAAACCAGAAGTTATGACGGCCAGACGTGCCAAGTCTCGCCTCAATTGATTTCCAGTCCTTGTACAGACAAAAGTCACCAAGGCTGTCCAGAATTATCTGCAGGTCGTCTGTAGACAATACATCCCTAAGCTTTGCTTCTCTGTAGCAGTAAATGCCTATCCAATTTGAAGCAGCCATACCCAGAGCATGAAATAAATCCTTCGTAGTCTTAGAGTCTTCATGCCATTCACCCTGATGGGTTAAAGATTTTGGACGTTTCCAAACAATGGGTTGTCCAGAGCGTCTTTCATCTGGTAACTTCGGCAACCCATGTCCATCATGAGCCACGTCAGGTTGCTCAACCTCTGTAAAGGCTCTAACATTAGGTGATGCATTAAGTTCACAATCCGGGCTACTGTCTATCTGGGTTTTTGTTGATGTCTGGGCCCCTGGCGATGCTCTAGGCTCAGAAGCTGAGCTAGTGTCAATTTTGGTTTTGGTTTTGGTCGATGTCTGGATCTCTGGTGACACTGTCGGTTCAGCAGCTGAACTAGCGTCAAGCTTATCCTCTGTCGATCCTTGGACCTCAGGTGATGCCTTGGGTCCCGAAGCTGACTTAGAGTGAGTACTTTGAGGGACATTTGGCTTGCTCGCTTTCGCTCCGGTCGCATCGTGTTTGTCTAGGAACCTGGGAGAGCGCCTTTTCTGTATAATACAGGCAAATTAATTAGCCTTTTTCAGAAGCTCCCTAACCGTCATGAAGTCAGACGTTATCGCATGTGTCCCAAACTGTCTTCCTGGTGTAAAGAAGGCCCACTGTTGCAATTACACGCAATGTGCACAAGGCGCCGGTCATTCGGAGAAGGGAAGAGACGGGAAAATTCAATGCTCGCTTGTATCTTACCTGAGGATACTGACCAGTATCTCTTGCTTTGCTTTTGCCCATGATGGATTCCGCTGTAAATCAGGTTACTGGACGCTATCGACTGTCTACCCAAGTGCCACAGTTCCGATCGATGTTTTGAGGAAGATACGATGCAAAAAAGATGAAAGCTCTTTTTCGGTATTTATGTACAGTGGCCAGTGCAGTAAGATTACTTAGAACATCGGCGGGTTTCCAATGCTCGAGACAATGCGGATGGCACATACGCATATGGTCTTGACCCACATCGTGAAGTATGCAATAATGAATGAAGTCAGAACTAAAGAAGAATGGATAAAAATAGGCTGGGGAATGGGTCTCTTAGTTTGGGTACTAAGGTTTTGAACGAACCTTGAACCGCAGAAGGTTAAAAGCCATCATCAGGGGGAAGGTGGCAACCGTATCCACCAACTACCTTTATTCTCAATAGTCAGGTGAGTATCGTAGCGGTCCAGGCCCATAATCTGGGCGCATGCCTGTCTTTTGCGTCAATATACAGCTACTCATCTGTCTCACTTATGAAGCCCGTGGCCCAATCTAGGGCTCATCACGATGGAACAAGAAATAGTATATCATGTCCAATTTCTCTAAGGTTGCTGACTCTGCTCCATATCCAGCACCTCTTTGTTCCTTCATTGTGCTGTTCTTTGCCTTTCTACCTACCCGTTCTACTGGTCTAAACAAACATCATCCTCGGCCAAGTATCACCCTGACCACACACAATCAACCATGGAGGAACGTATTCGGAATAATATAGTCGTATCTGTGGATTGCGGAACGACCCATTCGGGTAAGATCCCTAGAAATCCGCGGTTGCTCGAGCCTAGCTCGGTCAAAGGCATTGACCAGTTGGAGCAGGTGTTTCGTGGATGCACCCCGAAGCCGAGGACGACGTGCAATCCGTCGACAAGTGGCCCGGACGCCCTCCAGCAGACACTCTCACCCGGGTACCGACCCGCATTGCCTACCAGGACGAGAATGACTCACTTGACAAAACGAAGGCATGGGGCTACGAAGTAGGCGCAGAGCATGTAGCAGCTTCCTGGACAAAGCTGCTGTTGGAGCCTGGAGTTGAGGAGGAGATCGTTGAGAACAGCGACAACAAGGGGTGGGTAGCGTCGGTGGGAATTTTTACCCGGCCTGGAGGTAGAGACCCGACCCGAATCATCCAAGACTTCCTGCAATTGCTCAGGAAGCACGCGGAGGCTCAGATCAGGAAAAAATACAAAGAACTGGGCTATGCCATATTGCCCTTTGTCTACGTTTACACAGTCCCAGCCACGTGGTCGGACACGGCCATCACCGCTTTGAAGCAAGCTGCTAGTAAAGCAGGGTGTCGCGGAATTGGTGGGAGTATCTATCCTCTTATCATTTCAGAGCCAGAAGCGGCTCTCACGACCATGATCAATGACCCGAGAAGTGGGATTAAGGTATGTCTTCTATGCCGCTATTGTCCCCGCCTTTGGAGGTACTGAAAGTGTTGACTTTGGTAATACTAGGCAGGAGATGGAGTTGCTATCTGCGACTGTGGCGGCGGGACCTTGGTAAGACCCTTCTCAGCGTTTGAACAGTATGCTAGACACCTGGCTTACCCCTTCCAGGACATTGGCGTGTATTTGGTGCATCAGAGATCAATTGGTGCCTTTACAAAAATAGTGTCCCATACCGGTACGTTTGGTCTTCTCTGTATAGCCAATGACACCGAGCAACTTCTGATCCCAATCAGACTTCCATGGCGGAAGTATGGAGATTGACCGGGATTTCTACACTGCTGCGTCGAAAGGTCTCATCAGAAGGTTCAGCCAGTTGAAGCGCTCCGAAACTTCACCTACCAGCACTCTCATGATAGGTTTCGAGAACGCCAAGCGTGAATTTGAAGGCACAGTCGGGCCAGACCTCCAAGAACTTACATACACAAGGAGAGGGAATGTGTATTCATTCAAGTTCACAAGGTCAGTCTGCTCTCAATTGCTTTCGTCATGCTTCGTGTTGGTGATATCATCTAATCTAGCAGCAACAGTGTTGATATGCTGAGACTTCAGGCTCCTGTGGTCACCAAAATCTGCTCTGTCTTGGAAGACATCATATCCCAGGGGCATCGTAAATCCGGGGCACCGATTGTGAAGGTTAGTGAATATCCCATCGTCAACTTTCTACACAAATGCTGACAATCACTCAGCACATTTACGTTTCCGGCGCAATGGCGCGGTCAATCTATCTACGTAGCGCAATTGATAAACTGTTCGCGGAGTCGCAAATAGAGACCCACTATCCGAGTTCTCCGTAAGTCCTCACTACTCACTTTTCTTTTGCCAACAAGTAATACTGAAATATATAGGCAAAATGCGGTAGCCGAGGGTGCTGCCCTTTGGGGATACAACCGCCTCCGCTTGGTGGAACACTTACAAAAACGAAACCCCTCCTCTTCCTGACGGTGCCATGGACCTCGATGACGACAATCACCCTTTTACCTGGGTCCTCAGAAAGGTAAGCTCATCGCAAGTGCACAATTATGCGAACGCTATTTGACGGATGAACAATTTGTCCACAGAATACACCGTATCCATTCGGTGAACCAATCGGTGAGAAGCAAAGAACTGTATTTCCCTGCCGAGTGTCACAAGATCTTCCCTTCTCAGTCATCAAGATATATGACTCGGATAAGAGCAATCCTCCACAAAGCACTGATCCAAAAAAGGGTTCGTATTACCTTTCAAGCTTCACAGTCTTCTTGTCTCCCACGCGAAGAATTCTTCTGAACAATGATTAGGTGTCCGGAACATCGGCCGTTTACTCTGCGACTTTACTGAAGCGCTAAGAACGAGTAAAGTGAGTATTGGTGAGATTGTTCAGATCGAGGTTAGCTTCATTATAAAGGATGGTATGATACATGTGAAGGCAGAATCCCGTGGCGTCCTCTTTGGAGAAATGGAACTCAAATGCTTCTACTGACGGAAAGGAGGGTGGTTGTTTTTTGTGCAGGGCATGGCATCAATCAGAAAAATTGGAGAGTTCTAACCTTTTCGGGCGCACATTCATCCCTTGACGAGCTCTTTCTCTGCTCCTATGTTTCTTATGGATGAAAGTTTGTCTTCATTTCCGCCACTTCCTTGTTGCTTTGTGTAATTTTCTTTGTATGGAACCGATGGTGGATGGCATTTCTTTCTCCAAGTCTCGTGGTTTTGAACTGTTCGGGTCTTTTCTTATCACTAATGTTTCATACATCCCCTACTCTTACTCAGAATGAATTTGATACTTCGGCTGTTCACTTATGCAAGGTCAATTTGAAACGAATCGCAGTACCCCATGTTCACATTGTCTGTAAGAAGATGGAATTAATTAAGCATCCAGTCAGCTGGTAAGGCATGTGATGATTCTGGAGTACACAAACAACATCCTGGAGAGAGGGTTTACGGGTGGTAAGCTGCTGTACGATTTTCGCTCGAATGAATTACCACTTCCTTTATCTCCAGACTATCACTGTATCTTTCCTGTGAGCAGATACACTGATATTCAACAGTAACTTATCTGCAAGATGATTCTCAAGTCAACAACTAGGTAACCACTAGATCTTACTTACCATTTAAGATAGATTGTTCGCAGATATGTTTCGGGACGCGGTATTGATGAAGCAGGACCAAATAGACACCAGTCCAGTGATGTAATCTATCACATACTGAAGCGGTTCTGGGGGGAAGATATTATGACAAATGGTAAAACGACGACCACCATGAGAATGACTAAACAAAAGCTCAATGAGAACACTACTGGCATAAAGAAAATGCGGAGTAGAGAAAGGAAAAAAAGTTCAGAGAAACAGAAAAAGATATCTCCCCGACTGGGAGTCGAACCCAGGTCTCCCGCGCTTGTTCCGAATTGGGATTGACAAGCGGAAATCATGACCGTTAGACCATCGAGGACTTATTGTTTGACTGTGCTTTTATTTACATACTTATTTAAGCAAATAGAAGCGCAATGCTATTGAAAAAAGGAGGAGGCAAAAAGTGGACTCGCCGGGAATCGAACCCGGGACCTCTCCAATGCGAATGGAGCGTCATACCCCTAAACCACAAGCCCATCTTATTGGTAGAGTACGATGAGTTTTGTTACATAAAGGTAAAATGGTTGCTCTCGTTTCAAATACTTCTGCATCAGAACCCAGTCCAGGTTATCTGATAGGAAAAACCGAATACAACGCTTTTTATGGGAATTAACGCGTCATAATTTCAGAGGTAACTTGCTTCCGTCCGTGCAATGCCGCTATTCCAGCACTTGGTGTGCCTCGGGATGCGGAGAAAGAAGCGGGGAAATGCAAATGTAACCTATCAACCTCCCCAGACTGGGAGCACATCCACGTTCATCTCAAATCTGACCATGTTTCTTTCACAGCAAGTTGTCAATCTACACTACCGAGTCTCTGTACTAGGCAATGATTTTACCTCTACATATATATCCATTGCTATATGCCCTCCTAACTACGGCCTCCCCTCTTGCCCTTTGTCTTGTATATTGAGAGTCACCTGAACTGCCCTTCTTCGTTGGCTTGGGGATATTCCCACAACCTTACCGTGGTTGGCATACCCGAGCTCTACTAGAAAGTGATATCTGTTAGGTGGAGTCACTTTACATAGACGCATAGCTAAAGCCTCCCCCGCCATATATATAAACTCGGCATCATGATGTACAGATTCCCGTCTGGTCTCGCCCGTCGGACACCACGACTCACCCCGACAATACAACCCCCATTAAAGCAATACTATCACCGTTGCAAGCAATCATCATCCCATCCACGTACCATAAGACTATCGAAGACCGAACTAGAAAATAACAAACTCACCCCACAAAATCTCGAAAGCGCCATTTACTCCCTCTTCCACGACGGCCTAGTCATCATCGAAAACGCCATTCCACACGACCCCCTCGACCACCTAAACACAAAAATGATCCAAGACGCCTACACCCTGCAATCCAGAAAAGAGAATAGCCCTTACAATTACAACCCAGGGAACATCCAACAAGATCCACCCCCAACAAGAGAATATTTTCACAAAGATATCTTCCTGAGTACGTGACTATTCTCCCTAAGCATACCAATCTGCTCCTGCTAAAGTAACCACCACAGACCCCCTCGCCATTCAAATTACCTCAACAGCCCTAGGCCCATGTCCCAAATGGACCTTCTGCTCAGGTAACACTGCCATGCCACCAACCAGTACCTGTCCCCCCACTTCGCAGCCCGTACACACCGACGCGGATTTCGATCATCCCTCGCATCCATTCGCCTACGTTATTAACGTCCCCGTGGTTACTATGACTCCTGAAAACGGATCCACAGAGATCTGGCTCGGCACACACGTGGACTCGGGTCTGCATGTGCAAGAGGGAGCGCATGGCACTGATCGAGCGAGTGGGCGGATCAAGGTACAGGAGGTGGAGAAACGTCGCGCTGTGAGAATGCCCTGTCAGCCTGTTGTACCGAAGGGAGCGTTGGTAATTCGGGATTTGAGGCTTTGGCATGCGGGAATGGGGAATCGGACGGAAGATGTGAGGGTTATGTTGGCTATGAGTAAGTGTTTTTTCCCCTTTTGGATTTGGTTACTTGGTTGTGGTGGGCTGGTGCTGAGTAAGATTGTTGTGTAGTTCATTTCGCGCCGTGGTATCGGAATAGGATGAAATTGGAGCTTGCGGAGGAGTTGAGGCCCGCGGTGGAGAGGGAGACGAGCTTGGAGGTTCCAGTTGATTGGGTGTCGGAGGAGCAGGCATTGGAAAGGTATTTGAATCGGGGGTTTGGGAATGAATATGATTTTAGTCAGGGGGTTTAGGAGTAAGAAGCGACTTAATATGGAAAAATATTGTCGCGCTGAGATTAGAGTGGCAGTAGCATTTGATAAGGGTGGAAATATGGAGTGTTTATGGGCTACACTGAGACTCATCGTCACCAACAATTCATATTGCTAACTCTTAGACTACTATCAGAAAGTAACCAGCCATCTTCAACACTATCACTAACAACAGTTGCCACTAGGTGCCATTGGTTGAGCAAACAGGCACCACCCGCACGACGTTTGACTGAGGGAGAACCTCAAGGAGTGAATTGCATATCCTCAATCTCGAGAGAAACGATCCAACTTCAGGACCATATACTCCTCCCAGTGGCTAGAACCTCCCATTTGGACTTGAGACTGCGCTGCCCCATGCTCGTGCTTTCCGACCGAAGCTGCCTTCGGAGGTAGCACCTCAGCCTTAGTTCTCACAGCAGCAGTAGCTGTCAAAACCCTTCCCCTGGCATCAATAGCCTCTCCAGACACTGCGTGAACGACACGACCCGGAAGTGACAGCGCAGTCTCAAAACCAGTCCTCTTCGCATCGCCCAAGAACTCGCGCGAGCCGTACTCATCAACCACGCTATAAAAGCGCCAGACCTTTGTCTCAGTGTCACCGTTCCACGAGACATAAAGGGTCGTACCCTCGTCATTCTGAAGAGATACGATAGCCGGCGTCTCATTAGGAAGTCCAGTCCAGTTAAACCGGAAAGCACGGTAATTCTCGACACCTTCTCCCAGAAAGCCCGAGTCCATGTAGGCGTGTAGGATTGGAGTGCCGTCAGGGCGGAATTCAGTCAATGCACCCTCAGAGCCCCAGTTCACAAGAACGTTGCCGTTGGGTAGCAATTGGGTGCCGCCTTGAGACTTGGACAACAGGCCATCGGGTGGTTGGAAGGCTTGGACGATGGATGCTTTCCAGGTGGCAGTGTTGACTTGGATGATCTTTCCTTGTGAGAATGGATGGGTGTGGACTTCGTGGCCGCGACCGTTCTCGGTGCCGTGAGCAGAGTTATCATACAGGGAGATGATCTCGGAGTCACCGTCTTTGGAAACAAATCGAGCGTGGTGTTGGAAGCAGAAGTTGACGTTTGGGCCTAGTTCGAAGTCGGACTTGACACCTCCCAGACGCCAGATGATCTCGCTGCTGCTGCCGTTGATTTTGTGTACGGCGCAGGCATCACGGGCGGAGATGAGATAGTTCCCATCAGTGTCTTTGTCCACGGAGTTGATGTGGAAGTAGTCCCATGCATCTGAAGAGTTGTAGCCAGCGCCTGCTTGGCCAGGGTTGATGGGGAGGACTGCCTCTGAGAGAGTTTAGTTGGTTGCAGGCGTGTGCTGTGAAGGAGGAAGAACTAACCGTCGGGAAGGACATGATCCAAGCTGGACCACTCAAACAGAACATCACCAGTCGCAATATCAAGCTCTGTCACCCTGATTAGCTTTATCCTGTCATTCAAATGGATTTCATACCTTGGATGATGGCATCCACGATCCACTGTTGCTCCGCACTGGCTCCCCAGGGAGTGAGGTCCATTGGCACGGGTTGGTAGATTTGTATCAAAGCCGTCTCCTCATTGATAACGTGGAACTCATGCTTGTCCATAATCTTATGGTTACCAGCACGCAGCTCACGAATGGTCTCATAGTGCTGGTCTAGGAAGGTGACATGGCCGTGACCATGTCCATAAGCCGGATTATGGTCACCCTCGAAGCAGAATAGGACATCCTTGCCGTTCCATCGGGCTTTCTGAAAGTTGGTTGCCCAGATGGAGTAGTAGGAGTATCCGGACCAGACTAGCTCACCATCATCCCGAAAGATGTAAGGAGATGCCTGGCGCGGGCCATGCATTTCGCCCGGGCCATCTGCGATACCAGCAAAAGGAGCAACGAAGAGGTACCCCTTCTCCACATCTGCGGCTGCAGGAATGGTAATATTCAGCTTGGGCGGTGCCAGATCAGGGCGCGACTTAAATTGCCAGTCAGCTGCTACCAGTGGTAGCAGCATCATGGAGGCTGAGATAGGCCAGGGTGAGCGCATGATGCGTGCTGAGAGCACATTGATCAGTCCCGTTATTTCTCATCATCGTCAAGGATGGGTACATTAACCTTAGGTAAAATCGATGCACTGTTTTAGGAATTCCCGGAATTCGTTGGAAAAGGTCTGTAGACTTATGGATAGTGAGATGGAAACAAGAGCGTAAAAAGGGAGTTGACAAGGGAGTTTATAGGTTTCTGTGAAAGGCCAAGCCCCCTCCCGCAAGAGGCAGCGATTCTTGCATGCTCGTAACAAACCCCGCAGCGGGATGACATGTTCCAATGAAGTTATCCGCATACAATTACGGAACAATGTATTGTCTATTCCTCTGCGACTGTAGTCTACACAAATTGATTCGATTGAACCCTTTCATTCCCGCATTTCCGTTAGCCAGCATATCCTTCAAAATAACAATGCTTAAGTTGTCAGGTGGCCATAGCGATGGTAAGCAGAATAGTCTATAGTAAGGAAAAGCATTGACGTTGGTAAAGTGGGGATGGCCATGTCGATCAAATAAGCGAATGATGGCGGGGAGACAAAAGGGAAAGATTAGTGCTGATCAACCCAGCTTCTCGGAAGAGGTCCCGTCGGCAGACGCGACTCTATCAGATTCAGAGGTGAGGTAGACAGTATGAAAGACAGTAATTAATTTTCCTAGGCTGTCCCATCAGCGTCTGGTTTCTCCTCTTCGGCGACAAGGGTAGCCTCGTTACCGTCGAATACCAAAGCCATTTCTTCGATCGGGAAAACACTCGTTTTAGGATAGGCATACCACAAGACCAGATGGTATTTCTAGTCGATTTCGCCAGGGAAATGTGATTGATGATGATGTTGCGGATAGTTGGGAAATGTTAGACACCCAAGCCACACCGAGTCCACGGCTGCGTAGATGTTTGTTAGGGCCAGGAGCGGGCGGCCATGTTTGAAAAAAGTTAATAAATTGACTCTCTTTGTTGTATTTGCTGTTTTACCACTCAAAAATGCAGCGATACACATCTGCAATGGCACAAACATATACATTCTTTTCTATCACGGTATAGTGAGCATAACTACCCAAGGTTCGTGCGTCTTGGACAATGGGGATTGCTTATTAAAATGTTCTTGGAGACCCCGAACAGGGAGCAGCCGATGAAGCGGTTTACCACTGTTTCGTGGATTGAAGGAGGAGGAGCGTTCGCCCGAAGCTGATGGCCTCATTCCTTTAGTAATGAGGCATAAGAAGCGGCAGAACCTACCAGTATAGACGTGGCTGTCATAATACCACAGCTACAGGCCTGCTTAAGTTAGCGCTCGAAATGGCCGCATGGCCGATATCGATAATATCTTAGGCTGACTGACCATTGACTTTTGGCACACAGCCAGTGTCCCCCGGTTGGGGCTTCCCGCCATTCGAGTGTCTGATGGGCCCAATGGAGTGCGGGGAACAAAATCCCTCAATGGAAAAGCTGCAGCTTGATTTCCTTGTGGTAAGTGCCTTAGGACTACTCGAAGTCTAATCTAGAATGCGCGTTACTCACAGAAAGTGTGATCGGTGCAACATGGAATACCGCCCTGGTAGAGTCACTGGGACAATTACAAGGCCAGGAAGCGATTGATAAAGGTGCATCTGTAATTCTGGGCCCCACAGTAAACATGCAACGCTCTCCCCTCAATGGACGCGGGTTCGAATCATTCAGTGAAAATCCAATACTATCCGGCTGTATGGGTGCGGCAATGACCTACGGCATTTATTGCAGCGAGGATCCGGTCCTCATCCAAAAAAGCCCTCCGAGAGGAGTGGAACTTCTATGGTCTCGTTATGTCTGACTGGTGAGCCTTATCTTCTACAATATCCCCAGAAGGATCAGCAACCGTGTAGCATTATTCTCACACGTATTCAGGTTTGGAACTTACTCCACGACCGAAGCCCTTCGTGCTGGCTTGGACCTAGAAATGCCTGGCCCTTCTCTGCTACGGGGACGGTGATCACTAGGGCTCTTAGCTCTGGCAAGCTTCTGCCACACGAGCTTGACGATCGCTTTCAGGAAGTGCTGAAATTCATCCAACGCGCACGCGTCCTGAATCTTCCAGAGAATGCTCCTGAGGAGATGCTTGACACACCAGAGACAGCGGCCCAATTGCGGCGCGCTGCAGCAGAGAGCATTGTGATGTTGAAGAATGAGAGGGACATTTTACCGTTTAAATATGACAAGACCACGGCTGTCATTGGTCCCAACGCATTATTCGCTGCATATTGCGGAGGAGGATCGGCCGCTCTCGACCCGTATCATGCTATTAGTCCCTTGGAGGGAATCCACGCACGGGTGTCGCAGGCTAAGTATGCCCTCGGGGCTCCAGGGTGGAAGCTTCTACCGCCCCTTTCGCACCTTACGAAGACAGAGTCAGGTCAACCGGGCTTGGACATGACAGTCTATCTTGACTCTCCAGGATTGCCAAATTGCAATACAGCCGACCAGATCCATGTCGGCCGATCTGAGGTCTTCTTGATGAATTACAAGAATCCTCATATCAAGGGCTATCTTTACTACGCCGATCCGAGTGGAACATTTACGCCTGATGTAACTGCGGAGTACGAATTCAGTATCTGTGTTGCCGGCACAGCCAAAATGTCTATTGATGGGGAGTGTATCGTCGACAACGCTTCGAAGCAGATCCGTGCGGACAATTTCTTTGGGACTGGCACAGTTGAGGAGAGGGGAGAGTTACTGATTGAAGCGGGTAAGATGTACTACATCAAGGTTGAATTTGGTACGGATCCAACCATCACTTTCGATCGACCGGGAGCCAACGGGTTTGGCGCAGGGGGCATCTGACTCGGTTCCCGGCCGTATCTTTGGAATGGGCCCTCTCACCTTCTAGCTGCGCTCTTCCCACCCGCTACTCTAGGCGGATACGCTAACTCCCTCTTCTGGGTCATCCTAATGGTTGTGTCTGGAGACTTGACTCCCCATGCATACCTGAACGATTTCTAACGCCCCTGGCTGTTTTGGATTGATCCTATGCGCTACTTCTTCGGCGCTTCGCTCGGTTCGGTCCTTCACAGCGTTGCGGTTGAGTGTTCCGAGTAATCTCGTCGTATTTGATGCCCTGCCAGGCAGTACTTGTGGCTAGTATACGGCGGCCCTCTTACGGGGTAACCCCGGCTACATCGTTAATCCGAACGCGACGGCATATATTGCTCATATTGTCCGTATTCAGTCGGTGATGAGTATCTGGACACGTTGTATTATTCGTATAAGCAGCGCTGGTGGAATTGTGCGGTTTTTGTGGGCTTTTGCTGTATGAACTTTATGTTGGTTTATGTGGTGGTGTGGTTCACTAAGGGGAGGGGACAGAGACGTGCTTGAGGGGTTAAGCGGGGAGATGAATTTGGGCTCGGGCTGTAAGTCTATGATAGAATTCAAGGAAAATTGAATGCTGGGGTAGTTAGAGATTGCCATTTAATGATTCACAAACTGTCAAAATACTAGCAAGTGGGATAGAGGAGTTTACGGCGACTCCATTCATAGTGGAAGGTCGGATATTCCGAGGGAAATGAGAGAAACACCGAAGATCAAGTCAGCTTAGACAAGCACTTCTCCCTAACAATTCGCAACTAAGAATTGACAAAATCCTGGATTGAGAGAATTTATTCAAATGGCTTAATTGATAGATTTGCAAATTCAGGCTGGTGATGCACACCTCCTGCGCCGCGTGGGGCAATTGTGGCCTAGTCCTGCGAGGCGAAGAGCACAATTTCAGACGACAAGGGTCGGCGCGTTAGACTAGCTCTTGAGTTGCGGCTGGCTGGTCTGGGCCACATTGACTGGTGCGTGGGGGATGTGCCATTATGATAGACTAGATTCTGATAGTGGGCTACACCTGATTATATGTTATTGGGCAACTCGATTCAGGCCGGCTCAACTCGCGAAACCGAACCAGCCTATGGGGATAAAGACTGGTTTGAGCGTAACTATTCGCGGGAGTTATGGGGATTTCGAAAAGAATCGTGAGATGGCAGGCCACCGCACCGGTAAGGAGAATGTTGAGGGTTAGTGCCTAACGTGGTTATCGGTATTCAGCCGCATCAGGGCAGTTTTCAAGTGAATCCGAAAATGTAAAAAGCTATTCTCGTATGTTAAAGGCCCCTCTACGTCTTTTTTTAAACAAGCCGAGTGAGCCTCGTAGCTATCTATATTGTAATCAATCGCATCACTTGTCTTCGTAGCGAGCCACCACATTATTCACAATCTCAGCCACTTCCTTCGCCTTACTAAAATCAACCGAATGGCCCGAATCCAGCTCAAAAGCCTCAACCTCTGCCCCCTCCTTCTTCATCACATCCACCATCCACCTCTGGTAGTCAACAGGAACGGTCATATCTCTAGTCGACAAGACACATGTCACAGGAATATCCTTCCAAGCAGCTCGCTCGGCAGTAATAGGCTGGTACATGCACTTGCCATTCCACCGCTGGAGGGTCCCCAAATACCATTCTACCTCGGACTCAGACTCATCCGGACCAGGCGTAACAAGCAGACCCTTAGGATCGCGATCCACGCACGTTCCATCCTCCGCAAAATCGAATGCCACGGGCATCAACGACGCGTGACCGAACTGGTCCACGATGTCAAACATGCTTCGCCCTTCAGTAATGGTGAACGAAGAGAGTGAGACAATATGAAGTACTCCACCAGGTAGGCCTTGTTTGCTGCGGTTTGAGATTGCTAGGTCCGAAAGACTATTGGTAGCTACTTGGCCGCCGTAGGAATGGGAGATCACAATGACATTTTTGCCAGCGTTGGCGAGGTTCAATGCGTATTCGCGAAAAGCAGTTGTGTCGGTTTCTAGATCGGCTGTTGGGGGCCGCGCGCCGTTCATTGAGGGTAGCTCTGGGACGTGGACTTCGTGCCCGGATGACTTGAGAAGATTGGTGAGCTTGTCGTATGAGGTGGGAACGTGCCAGCCTCCTGAGATGAGGAGGATCACGGGCTTGGAGGCAGACATGGCTGTTGTGTAGTAGCTAGTAGTTGAAGGATGGAAAGAGGTGGGATCAGAAAGAGCAGAGGGGCTGAGGATGCTTGGGTAATTACTTATACTCGCGTTCAATAGAGTGGGGCAGAGTTTAGGAAGACGACAAAGAATGGTAAGGCAAGGCTGTGAGCTGTTAGTTCGACTCTATCCCTACGCGATTCAATGCTACGCTTAGTGGTAAGCTAGTAGTAGCCTAGGTAGATTAGCGCTTACCATGGCTTGTTGGGTGGTCAAAGGTCACGTAATTCCACGCATGGAGCCACAACTACGGAGAATGTCAATATTTGAAGTAATTATGTCTCTCTATATGCGGTGGATGAAATACAAGAGGTATCCTGGGTACGCCAATGAACGAAACGGACAGGCCATCATCGGCTGTAATTTGCCATCAGAGGTGGTACCTTCGCCGGGGTTAGAGAATGTAATGGCTTGAATTAGTTTTTTCCTTTGATTGTCTAAGTGTACTGCAACTTAAAATCAAGATAAAGGTATTAATTATGGATACCGATGGTTCCCCATCGAAACAAGACAGGTGAACAGTAGATCTCAGCCAAGCCACCCTGACACACAATCGCTATTTATATGTCACTACCTAGCGGCGCAGCAATGGAGATAGAAGTATTCTCCTATATATAGTTCTAGATCTAGATCATGAAAGGCATTCATGATTTGAGATTTTCCTGGTTTCTATATATAATCGTGGGCAGTGATGACGAGTCATGCGACTTACTGCTAGAAGATGGAACGTTGATACAACAACATTTGCACTGTTTGTCTTTCGGCTCGGTAATTGTCCGAAGCCGGTGCTAACCTGAGGCATCGAAGTGGGAGGAACCGGATGTCTATTTCCGGCAAGTGTAGCGGGCATTCCTGATCGGGCATCATCATACGATTAGGATTCTATCTATTTATTCTATCTCAACATTATCATCATCGTGACTAGTACTACAGGTTGTAACAATAGGGAAAGGAAAAGGTATCGTGATCGTGTCTACTGGCGAACCAGCACACCACGGTATCTCATCTTGCCCTCGCGCAGGGTCTGCATGGCCTCCTCAATACCCTCCTTGTTCAAGGGGAAGGTCATGATGGTGGGGTAGATCTTCTTCCTGGCAGCGAACTCGAGAAGGCTGCGGATGCTCTGGCGGGAAGCAACCAGGGAACCCTGGATGCGGACACCCCTCCACACGAGGCCGAGCATGGGCACCTTAGCAGGCTCGAAAGCCACGGTCAGGGGGTAGATGCTACCGTGGGTGGCCATCAGGGGAATGAGACTGTTTTCACGTTAGCTATATGCGCGAACAAAGCTACTACGCAGAGAAAGCGATAGGGGGGCAGGAGGCCAACGTACGAAGGGTAATCAACACCGGCATTGCCGCAAAGCAAGAGGTGCTTGACGGGCTTGAAGCCCTCAGGAACGGCATCACCAGACCTGAAAACGTGGAACTCAGAAGCACCAAAGTCCATAGCTTCCTGGCGCTTGGACTCGGAGCTGGAAAGGACAACGACGTGGCAGCCCATGGCAGCAGCCAGCTTGATGGCAACGTGACCAAGACCACCAATGCCCATGACGGCGACGCGGTCAGTCGAACGAATGCCATACTCGCTCAAGACAGTCCAGACAGTAGCACCGGCGCACATGAGAGGAGCAGCATACGCGGAGTCGTAGCCATCAGGAATGGGGTAGACGCAGTTGGCGTCCCAAACGGCACCGTAGCTGAAGGTTCCGTTGTCGAAGTCATGGAAACCGTACTGCTTCTGGTTCTCGCAGTACTGATCCCAGCCTAGTTCGAAGGGGTTAGCCTGCATAATGATTCATGTGTCGTACATATAGGGGAAGTACCAGTAGCGCAGTTGTCACAGGAAGTGCAGATGCTGTGGGTGTATCCGAATCCAACACGGTCTCCAATCTTCACGGAGGTGACACCGGGGCCAAGAGACTTGACGATTCCAATACCCTCGTGACCGAGCACCTGGTTGGTCTTGAGGTAGTGCTCATCTGTGCCGCAAAGACCAGAGTGGGTGGTCTCAATGAAGACCTCATTGTGTCCAAGGGTGGACGAAGCCTTGTCAGCGACAATGCGGCCCTCGGCAGAGCCACGGAACACGTCGTACGTAACGCTCATGGTTGGGAAGATTTGAATAATGTGAGGGGTATCTAGAATAAAGAGAGATGGATGGATCCTAACGGAAAATTGGCCTACCCAGTCTTTATAAACGCCCCGTCTCTACGATCCTGATCATACATTATTAATAGGGACTGGTCCGAGCAAACCGAAACGGCTCACGGCGTTGCTGCCCTTTGAGTAACGTTATCTTGTGGAAACCCAGGGAACAAGTGAAGAAAACTTCACGCCGGCTTCTGTGGAGTGCAATTCAAGGAACGTAACGGCAAGTTTGGTCCACCAGATCCACCTCCCAACCGCAGATTTTCCGAACGAAGTCCGCATGTCGCACACGAGACCGCAGGGACTTTCCTCTCGCGCCTCGCAGATTTATTTGCATTCATACGTTATCTATATCATATCTCTCTGGTTCACCCTGAGTGCCAAGATGTTGACAAAGTAAATGGTAGCTTTCGGTTTGAGATAAGGTTTTTCATGACTCTATTCGAATCGGTCCCGACAACGGGCCGAGAAAGAGAAGAATTCGAGAAGAACTTTTATGGCGCCACGGATCCACTCGCTGCCGTGCCGAGGCTGTTCTATCGCCTTCCCGAGACGTTGTTGTCGATCCCTTATTCCGGCTTTCGAACTTCAGGGTCGAAACTCCAGGGTCAAATTTTCACACGTGGCATGATCAAGCAATTTATTCGCATTATCCGCAAAAGTTTGCTACATGGAATTCCTTGAGCTACTCACGTGGGCCACTAAGGACTCTGCACGTCATAGAGCCATGCGGTCGGTATATTAAGGCCGTTGCCGCTAACGTACACCACTGTGGGAACTGGAAGCCTCCTGCGTTAAACATTTGTCACTCGCCGGGATTAGCTCTTGCGGCCATGCTTTGCCTTCACCCGAGCCTCGTTATCGTTAGTCTGAAAATGAGTGAGGCTGTGTGGTCATGGCTTGCATCAGTCATGTTGACTGGTAAAATCTGAACGGCCCTACTCACCGCAACTTTGTCATGAAAAGGATTAGCGACTAAGTCTGATCGTCCTTCCAGCAGTGAAAGAAGCTGAGACAATGACTATAAGGCAGATGTTGTCAAACAATCGTCCACAAGTGTAGCCTCCAAATAAATTTATTAACTACATCAACTACGGCGCACAATAACTAGAGACATGACAAACGTATTCAACACCCGATCATGAATCTTTCTGACAGATGGCGACTATACGGTATAGGCATTGGCGCTGCTGTGAAAAGACTTGCCCATTAGGTCTAAGACCGTCGATTCGTCACAATTCTACCCCTGAAGCAGTTTCTCGGAGAAACCGCCGCGAATGATGTATTGCTAGACATGACTGACTTGCTCGATGCAATCTGGGATGTGGAGTCCACACCATAGCCTACCTTACAGAGTATGTGCTAATTGCAGGACTAGGCCCACTTGATCGGCTCCGATCATCTTGATAAGATACTTCTCCGATGAATCTGTTTATTCAAAGATCAAAGGTCGTTTCATAAAAAGTTTTGAACGATAGACCAATGCCTGTATACATTTCTAGGATGGTTGTTAAAGATAAATTAGGCCTCAGATATACATCATATCCAGGTGCGGGTAATTAATTACTATACTCGTCGACTGTTGAATTACCACTCGTCCTGGTGCGTGTAACCTCTTCTTTCAACCCTGCTCCTCAATTTCCCCTGAACTTCCTTATTCCTGTTTCTTTCTCTCCGCGTCAACCATGGTTTCGACAGCCTACCACGTCGTATCCATATATCTCCATCAGGGTTCGCATACCTGAACTCCAAGCCACCGGATCATACCCGAGGCTTATCATTTCCTGGTTGTCTCACCCCCTGCTCTAAGGAAAGCGCGCCGTGCCTCTGACAGCCTTTCTAGTCAATATTGCACCAAGCTACGCCAGCTCAGCCCTATACCCTTTGTTTGGGTTTAGGATGAGATAGTTTATTGATTCCTTGTCTTGCAGCTAATTGACCTGATGGCAGTTCGACAGTCGCCCAGTTTTGTGATTCAGGTTCAAGGACAATAATTTATCATGGTACCCTTCATCGCTAGATTCCTCATAATCTCTACGATTATGATTCAACTATTTTAAATAATGACGTGTCATCTATGCTGTTTCCTCTATATAGAGTGCCTCATCTTCATCAATGAAAGCATACGTCTGCGATACTCAATTTGTAGCACATAAAAGCCCTAATGCTTTCCGGAGACAAACTAATAGACATCCAAAAGCTTTATTACTAGATCGATTCTCATTTACATCATGACTAAGCCCGAATACGTTTTCACTCGTGATTTCCATGGTGACAACCGGGACGTTCTGCTCAATATATTCGATGTACAACTGCTAAGTGAAATCGCAGCATCAACCTCCAACATTATTTGTGGACCGAACTTTTCGGCTACCATATCCACCCTTCCATCCCTACAAGCAACCCAAACCTGAGAATTGCCGACGTTGGCACTGGCACTGGGTAGGTGGTAAAACGTGCAGAAAGACAAATTAACTAGCTTACTGCTAACGCTCCAACCAGAATCTGGCTGACAGATCTATCACGTCGACTTCCGAGCACCGTATCCCTAGATGGCCTTGATATATCTTTCAGCGCTCTCCCCCCAAAAGAATGCCTTCCTGTAAATATGACTCTACACTCATACGACATACTATCCGAGACGCCTGATCACCTCCGGGATGTCTATGATATTGTTCACGTTCGCAACTTTTCCTTCGTAATAAGGGACTTGGAGGCTGAGAGGGTCATCGGGAACGTTTTAAAACTATTGAGTATGCACCCAATATAAATCCTTGGGCCCCACCCCCAACCTTCTATTGCATGCTGATTATCGCACAGAGCCTGGTGGCTACCTCCAATGGGCCGAAGTAGATGCCCTTTCGTATCGAATCGAGAAGACCAGCCCGGGCTGCAAAGACGACGCCCTTAAGGAACTCATGCGCTTAGGCAGGGGGGCAGATGACCGTACTACTCCTCACTGGGTTCCCGAGATTCCTTATTACTATCAGCAGGCAAAGCTGGAAGAGGTGGAAAGCGACGTCAAAGATGCCCCGCCGTATATGGCCGTAGCAAAGCATGAATGCAACCTAATTGTTCCCGAAATGCTCACCCGCACAACACAGAATTCGGCTCTAAGTGAGAGATTTTCGCGGCTTATACCCGAGGCTATGGAGGAAACACATAGAGGAGCGTACTGGGCCTTTACTCGGCTCACGGTGGTTGGTCGGAAGGCTAGTGGTTAGCTGGGTGGCTTTTTATTTGATCTATTCGGGTATAGGTGGGATTTTGATGTCTACGTACGGCTTATTCATTTAGGGGGTGACTGCTAGAGTGAAACAAAAGATGGAACTATATTCACATAGTTTACTTGATGGCAAAAGCTTGGAGTGTCTGCTATTGCATTCAAATAGAGGGTATGGACTTTAAGGACATCTTACGCTCGTGAGCAACTGACAAGGGATATAAATCGGAGCTTCGTCCCACGTCTGCCTTCGACCAGAATTTAAACCATGGCTTCTAATTAGGTCTCTCAGGGCATTCAAATATGCTGGATAGTCTGTAAATTGCGTCACCACACAATATACTAATTAATAAGTCGGTCATTATGCGGATAGGTTGCCACACGACTGGTTACTCCATCTGTTAAAGTCTTCCGTCAGTCCTAACATTGTCAAGTAATATGAACCGGTGCTGAGCGCATTGTTACTGTCTCTCGCATATGTCAGACGAAGCATATAGAGAGCTGCGAAAGCTGCAACAGAGCTGTACGATTCAATGCTTTTTCCATAACATTTCTTCAGCCGTCTTGGGTTTTCGAATGTGGGGATACAGTAGAAAGATTAAAGGTCATGATATGACATCCAATGAGCAATTTTCTGGTTGTAACTAGAGTTGAGGCTAAGTAGATAAGATAATATGGCGTGACTGGCCCGCCATAATCGAGCTTCGATCACGCCAGTACACTAGCTTAGTGTCACCTTACCCCACCTCACCTCCCCATGCGTATCCATATCCCCAACAATCAAGACTTGATTTCCATCAGCTACTTCCAGTATAAGTCATGCCTACTTCCATCGAAACTACCGTCAGCACGCAGACTAAGATTCGCCCTACCGTCCGGCACGCTGCTGTTGACGGGGGTGCCGAAAAGGTCCGTTACGACCCCGCTATCCTGGCTTATACCCATGCATTCAGCTCACCACGCTTGCTACAGCATCCCGATTGGCTGGTCGAGCTTCACACAAAGGGCTGGACGGTTGTCCGCGGTGTCCTACCAAGGGACCGAGCACTAGCCTATGCCGACAAGGCCTACGAATGGCTTGAAAGCTGGGACCTGGGGTTCGACCGCAAGGACCCGTCGACCCGCAAGGCAGCGAACCTTCCCTGGCACACTCACGGGGGGCTTTACAGCAGGTTTGTTACCATCATTTGCTATCATGCACTGTAATAGGCAGCGGCAGCAGTAACACTGCCGCGAGCACAGGTACGGCGTCGGCCACGAGCAGTTCGTGTGGGATTTGAAATCAGAGCCGGGGCTGGTGGAGAAGTGGGAGCAGATCTGGGGCACCCGCGAGCTTCTGGTCTCGTTTGGTATAATCTTCCTTCTCCTCTGACGATACTTAGTACTAACTGCTCAGACGGCGTGAATCTTTCCTTACCCGAAAGGGAACGCCCCAAAACAGACCCTATTTTCGCGCCGTGGGCGCATGTCGACCAGTCCCCCTATAACAACAAATTCGACACCGTCCAAGGAATTGTGAATCTACTCCCCAATGGGCCCGAGGATGGCGGGCTTATGGTGTTTGAAGGCTCAAGCGCTTGCTACACTGAGTTGTGGCAACACTTTGACCACAAGAAGGGTGAAAGAGGATGGAGCACGTGGGCCTATCAGAGTGTTGACGCGGAGATGTGCCAGTGGCTTGAGGCTAGGGGATGCAAATGGACCAAAGTGTGCGCAGAGCCTGGCGATCTGCTACTCTGGGACTCGGTGCGTGCTCCTATCTCTAACATATCTTGAGTTTGTAGTTGGCTAACAGCGCACTAGCGCACGATCCATTACGGCGCTGCTCCTTCTTCGGTCAATGACCGCTTCGCCGCCTGTATGCCAAAATCTTCATTTCCATGCTAGTATAGGAATGCTAACGGTCTAAACTAAGATGTCTGCTATAAGCCAGCCGCCGCCATCTCAGAGGAGGCCAAAAAGGTGCGCCTGCAGGCCTTGAAAGCGAAGCAGAATACAACACATGATCCGGCTGATTTTCGAGTCAGGGAGTACCTGCCACCGGCAGATCATCCTACCTACGAAGCGGCCATCAAGAGGCCGTTCCACAGCCCGGTGCTTTCGAAGCGGGCGAGGGAACTGATTGGGCTGGATCCATACTGAAGGGTTTCACAGGACCAGAGGCTGTTTTGGTTATTGAATCATAGCTGTTACTTTCATATAGACTGCAATCGAATGCACATGCATTCGTCATCTAGGACGGTCACATATCAGATACTTGGGAAGAGTAGATGACCGATATAAGGGACAGCTGCAGCTCACCGTGCAGCACAACAGCTAAATAATTGGACATCATTCATTCCCCGGGCAGTTACCCTGGACTGCAGAATATTATCCCAAATATCTGTAGATATTCAGTATGAAATCCAATATCGAGAAAGCAGTAAACAAAGGTATGAATAAAAACCGTGGTTCGAGATATCATGAACTTATATTCAGATACGTCTTCTCCGCTATAAGAACTTGTGGCAGCGGCAAAATTTTAAGATCTTGGGGGCGCTGCTTGAATTAGACATCTCTTCAGATTAAAGGAAAAAGTACCACACGCCCAAAAAAAGATGATAATTCGTATTGGCGCTGCCCGGAATCGAACCGGGGCTGGCACGGCCACAACGTGACGTCATACCACTAGACCACAGCACCTGTTGTTGTGAGAGCTGTCTCCGGAAAGTAATTTATATGGGAAAGAGTGTTCTTAGAGTTGGGTTAGAAATTACGGCTTTCTCGGGATGTGATTCGCTGAATCATATCAAGTTCCACATCATAATGACAAAACGGGATAATCTAGCCCGTTTTGTTATCCATAGTGTCCACCACAATGACCTGACTACACTTGAGTTGGAAGCACTAAAAGCAACCCACAAGCCACCTCTCGAGTATCATGATTCAAAATGATTTATTGGGAGGCTGGGAGCAGGGCATTGAAGCTGTGGTGTTGTTGCATCAAGTTGGCGAGATTATACAAAGTACTAAAGCACGATGTCACTGTGGGATATATATTCTACACTCAGCCATGAGTACACAACATAGAACTTCATCTGCGTCAGAAATCCAACAATAAACTTACTCACATAGTATCCATACTAGTCCCTCAAAGATCAATTGCGGCTCACCAATGTTACCTTTACTGAAATATACCGCCGCGCTCCTCTCCACACTCCCCTATACCCTTGCACAGACCTACACCAACTGCAACCCTCTAGAAAAGACCTGCTCGTCCGACACAGGCTCAACACAAAGCACACTACAACTTCGTCGAGAGCTGGTTATATTGTATGTGTCTAGATCCAGGAGGTGGATGTTCTCAACTCTCCTAACTTGGCAAACATCGCACGCCCGGGTTGGACGCCCTCGTCGCCTCTGCACCGGCGCAACCCGAAGTATTCCCGCCTGACCCGAGGACATGAGCCCATTGATGTTTTTTTATGAAGATGAGAAAAAGATTAAGGGTCTTCGAGGTGGAACCGAGCAAGAAGCTTGGACCAGCGAGGTGCGCAATATGCCACGTGATGCTGTGGCCGGACGCACAATGGTTTGCCACGTGACAGGGTTCATGATTGTCGTAGGGCAAGATATGGACACCCAAGTCTCAATAAATTTGGTTCCAAATGGTAAACTTAGCAATTTGCGCATTGAAGTTATTTAGGGGGATCAAATACCAACAATCACACTGGCTGTTGCCATGCCTGTAGAGGAAATGGTCTGGGAGATGTGAAAAAGCATGCGAGGCTGAGGCCTCTGGTTCTCCTCTTTCTTTGCCCGCCATTTCCTTCAATGGTTCACAATGGTGTCAGCATGTTTCCCCGCTTGGAACATCCGGATATGCTCATTCGATGCTTGGGGTGCGTAATGTATGCTTAGCGGTGGGTTTCGGCGAATGAAATCGCCTCATTAAGCGCCGGTCATGCAAGTCCATCACGATAGGCTTCCGGCTATCAGTTCATCCCCACCTAGCTTGCAGGCTTCACAGTTTAGCGATAAAAGTATGAAAGGAACTCCTCGGTCGGAATTATCGATTTTGGGGGTCGCCTTCTTCCCCTACCTCCCTCTCTTCCGGCCATGTCCTTAGACGGCTCACCATGGGCGCGCTGAAATTGAACCTGCCTAGCTCTCCTTCAATCCAAGTATTCAAAAGGAATCGGCAAAGGAAACTGCTCTATGCGGGGTTATCACTTGTGTTTATCCTCGTGTTGTGGGGTACATTATTGATAAGTTCTGGTGAGCGGTATGCTGGGTTGCAGGGGCTGCGTTCAGCAGACGGATTAAGTCTGGCAACAATCACAAATGAAACATTAGGGGTGAGCTCTCATCCCAGACCATACAGTATATCCGAGTTCTAATCGAGACGTAGTTCGATAGGATTTTCTGTATCAACCTCCCCAGTCGAGCTGATAAACGGGATGCAATCACACTAGGCTCATCAGTCACGCAGTTCCGCGTGGACTGGATTGATGGCGTATCCTCTGAAGATATGAGCCCCAAGGCCTACCCACCAGTAAGATTCAATTGGTCACTGTGCCTCATACTATCTACTAAGACTCCCTCCAGCGGTACGACGAACCGGATAGACCTCGCATGCTAGCCGGTGAAATCGGCAGCTGGCGAGCCCACCTGAACGCGATGCAACGGTAATCACATCTCCATGAGAAATCAGACACAAAGTTGACTTTATTTAGCATCGTCTCAGAGCGCATAACCAGTGCCCTAATACTTGAAGACGACGTCGATTGGGACGTGACACTAAAGAACCAACTACAAGAATTCGCGCTAGGAACCCTAGCCCTCCAAGCCGAATCCCACCCGAAGACCACGCCCTACGGGGACGACTGGGACATCCTCTGGCTCGGCCACTGCGGAACAAAATGCCAAAAGAAAACCCCATTCTACATACTGAAGAATGACCCAACATCTATCCCCGTCTACGGCCTTCCACAATACTGGGCCGGCCCAGCCGTCCACGAACTCGTCGACAACATCAAACATAACCGCATTATCTGCAAAACCTCACTGGCAGTCTGCTCCAGCGCATATGCGGTATCATTCAACGCAGCACAGAAAATACTGGCAGCGTTGTCCGTTTTACCTGATGACGAGAGCATGCCGCCTCGTCAAAGTGTCGTGTATGATGTCATGTTGGGGAGATTGCGCGAGACCGGATACTTGAGGTGTGTTTCGTCGCATCCTTCGCTTTTTGGGAACTGGAAGGGCGCGGGCCTACCCTCGAAGGGGTCGGATATCCAGTATAAGTATGATGGACCGAGGGAGCAGAAGACGTTCGAGGGGGCGAGCTTCCAGGGATTGGTTTATAGTACTATGTTTAATTTGGGGACTTTGCTGGATGGGGGAAGGGTGGTGGTGTCCAATGTTAATGATGTTATGAAACCGAAGTTGGATTTTAGGAAGGTGAGGAGGTTGGAGGGGGGGTTGCATGTGTTGGATTATGAGGAGATGGTTTTGAGTCGTGTATAATAGATCATTGACATTTCTCAAAATGTTCCTTAACCATACGTAGTATACAAACTCTTCTAGATAATTAGAGGGTTGTTTACTTGGCGTGGTAATGTTTCATTGCTGCATGTGGAATAGAATAAACAGTAACAGCGGTCATTGGTAATTCTTTACCATGCATGCTCTTGCATCCCTGAACGTGCAATCCGTAGGCCTTCATGAAAAGTCATATATACCAGCGTGTGTCGCAGGTCTTAATGCTACATGCATACGACATCTCCCCTTCCATTTACGTCCATAACAGCACCAGGATTTCTCAGTTTTCAATAATGAGTACGTATCATTATGATATCACGACCATGGTATATACACAAAAATTTAATCATATCCAACATGACTCAATGGCTTCGCTCGAATGGTTGCACGAATCGATCATCTGCGGTACTATTCGATAACAGTCAGCTGAATCCTTTCATAATGAGACCATAGAGCATCATGGCATACCTCGGAGTTGTAGTCCGTCAGGGCTTTAGAAACGGCCGGGGCCTCCGTGAGGGCCACCGGGGCCGCCAGGACCGCCGTGAGGACCACCAGGACCGCCGTGGCCGCCGCCGTGAGGGCCTCCGTGGCCACCAGGACCTTCATGAGGACCACCGAATCCTCCAGGGCCGCCGGGACCTCCGGGACCACCATGAGGACCACCAGGGCCACCGCCGTGAGGGCCGCCAGGACCTCCAGGACCGCCCTGGGGACCGCCCTGGGGACCGCCGTGGGGGCCTTCATGGCCGCCAGGGCCGTGCTGGTTCTCGTGGTGGTGGTGGAAAAGACCCATGTTGATTGTTTGTAGGAAGAAAGGTTTGAAGTGTTTGTTTGATAAAAGTGTGTGGCTTGTAGATGTTGTTGAGAATGAGTGAGGGGTCAACGAGAGATCGTGGGGGATCTTATACTCGTGGCCCCTTGGGAGGCGCCATTAGGGATGTGGAGACCACATAGGGTCTGCGATCCAGCGAAGAGGGAAAAGAGATAATTTTGGGTGCAAATGACGCTCATTGAGGGGCCCTCTCCCCAGTTTGGATATTGCATCTGACGACATAGCCTTCGAAGGAAACGATGTTGCCTATGGCCGATGTGGATTTATCGCCGAGCTAATCGGACTATGACGCTAGTGAACCTTCAAGGCATCGCCCTATTCGCCTGCGATGCTATAGTACCATGGGTTAAGCCAGGAGCAGCATGGCTCAGATCTCGTCGTCGCCCCGTAAGGGGGTAATGGGGAAGAACCCAATCCAGAGAAGATGGACATCATGAAACTTTGATGACATGGCCGTACGCGTTCACTGCATTACTATGCGAGTCACGCAAGACACATTCGAGGTCTTGTGAAGTCTGGACAAATGTCCACTCCAAAGCCCTATGGTCACGGTGAGCTTGGGTTGCCACAAGTGGATGAAAAAGCGTACGTACTTCGACCCACTCCTGCTCAGCACAGGGCTGGCTAGTGCCCTCAATAGGAGGCGCCAAGCGGGGGCATACGAAAATCATGGCCTCAGCCACAGCGCTGAGAGAGTCGTGGCTCGCTCCATTGAGTCATAATGACCGTTATGAATTGATCAGCGGCCTGGGGAAGTCTCGTTGAATTGTTGTTGTGGCTGATATCCGATTCAGATGCACGCGGTCGAGATGATTCGGCCTGGCTTTCCGATTTCGGCATGAACCGGCCCCGAGTCTGTATGACTAAGCGGGATCGGGCGCCATTGCCAAGCCACACTAAGACTTTGCCAAGCGTTGGTATTTTCCTACCGGCAAACAATGCAAACACCCCTCGCTGTTCTTTGTGAACAGAACAACTCAATTGTTACGAGGGGTAGACGTTAGATCGATTTGTCGCAATTCGACTAATGGGCTGAAGAAAGCACAATGTTGGCCTCGTGATAATGGTGATGCCCTGCCAGGTTATGAAACACTTCGGGAGGAACTGGCAGCGCAGTTCCCCAGTGGTATTGATGCCTTCTGCGGTACGGTTGGAGGTGCCGGCATGGTTATGGGAGTCTCATGCGTTCTGAAGTCAAAGTGGCCGGATACGCGAGTTGTAGTTCTCGAACCGGCCGCTTGTCCTGTCACTACTGAAGGGCGCACTGGATCTCGTAGCGTCGAGGGAAAAGGAATTGGTTTCGTGCCGCCACATCTGGATTCTAAGCTTTATGATGAAGTACGAGGTATCTCAGAGGCAGAAGGTCGTGCTAGGTGCACGCGGTTAGCTCGTGAGGAAGATTTACTGGTTGGAACTTCGACTGCTCTTAATGTTGTCGCGGCCATTGCTCTTGCCAAAGAACGGGGCCCGGGCAAGACGGTGGTTACCGTCGCCGTGTATACGGGCCTGAAGTACATGAACGGAAATCTCCTTGTGGATGCTTGAGGTCGCGAAATCCTAATAACTAAATAATTGCTCTATGCGATACTATAGGATTTACTGCCACCACTGATACAAATTTTTATTTGTGTCTGCCTGTTTTATGAAAGAAAACCACCGAGTTCAGACACTACGGAAACATGAGTGACCACCATGTGTTCTAAATCGACTATTGGTCTTGCTGTCCTCGAAGTTCTTAATGTTACCCAATTAGATTTGTGATCATGGACCTTCTACCGATTCTATATCGGCTGTGCGCACCTTCCTCCTGGATGTTAGCTTGTATCACATAAATCTATTTCCATTGGGCAAGGTTGACCTGTACCGGTATATCGTCTACACAAAAAAGACTTACGCAAGCCGGCTAATGTTTCAATGTTATTAGATATGTTTAATATTCCAGCTCTAAATTACCATGCTAATCTGAAGGACCGATCTTGCAAGCAACTGCCGAATCTCTGCGAGATAGGCCTCCTCGGTTCCCATTCAACTTTTCCTATTTACCACCATCGCTTTCCACTTGTCCTTCTTATCCATCAATTCAACTCACGGGTACTGGTCGTCCGTTTAAGTTTCCTTAAAAAACCCAACAGGAGTCGAAAGCAACCATCTTGTGAATAGATCCATCGGCGCCTCACGCATAGTTTCGAAGCTATAAATGCGGCTGTGCGCCACAACCAACTTCCCGTTGTGCATATGTGCCTGCAGAATCCGAGCATGCGAAGGTATCATAAACGAAACCATGAGGACCTATTATCAGTGTCAATGATCAACAACTTTCAACTTTTATCACAGGGGTTGTAGGAAACATACAGGCACCATCCCTTCCGAGTCTATTTCATCTTGCTCCAGACGGGTGCGCATCGTCTGAAGTATGCCCAGCAGCTCAAATCGCATCATAGAGTCCTCAGGACATCGCTCTTGGCACCAATGTTGAGTGATCATGACGATATATGGGTACTTATCATCTATGCATTCGAAAAATCGATTCACCGTGTACAGATATTGTCCGAGCTTGTCATAAATGTTGGATGTCCGGGCGTACAATTTGTCGGTTGTGCTGGTGCATTCATCAAGAGGTTAGAGCCATGGGATTGCTTTAATGTATTGGGTTTATACAAAGTACTCACATGGACGGATACCAGATCCCAATATGCGTCAAAGTAGCGGGCACGGCATAGTAGCGATGAGTTCGTGGAGCGAGGTGGATCCATCTTTCTAGCTTGATGGCAATTTCTTTCAAGCGGAAGGGCGGGTATGACTCGCACGAGTCTTTCTTGATAGTTTCGTAGTCTTTAATAGTGTAGCAGGAGTCTTCGCGCTTGTCTATTGTGGTGTAGGGGTGAGGGTCGATGGGATAGGTGTGCAGAGCTTCGATTGGAAGAGGTTCGAAGAGGAGGGGAGTAGTTGAAGATTTACCCTTTCCATGGTGTTTGGCCTCGAGATCCAGGGGCAGCAGAACTATGTTGTTTGAATCGCAAAAAGAAGGGGATATGAAGTTGAGGACGTTTCGACCTTCTAGCTTCTCCATTATCTTTCTGAGGCTTTTTAGGGTGCGGGATTCATCCTTCGGGTTGGGTGGCATCTCGGGTGGCTGATCGGTCTGCATGATTGACAGCTTGCGATACGTGCAGTAGGTATTGGGTGAGAGATCATGCTGAGATGACTAGCGTTGCTTTTCATCGTGTATATTTGGAGTGTAGTGAATGTATTCACGCTAGAATCCTAAGCGAGTGTTCATCACTTTTGGCTTTGTATGCTTGCGTGAATTGTGCTATGAGTAGCATTGTGCACACTCTCTATTCTTTTAACAATGTATTGGATGCACTGGTGTGCTCTTATAGTCACAAAATAATTCAAATTTACAGATGAGAAACTGAAGGGTATGGCGGGGCTAGGATACTTTGCTCGCGTTATGCAGGACACTTTTGGTACCTTTGTAGTATTCTAATTCAGGAGTAGGGTGCGAGTAGATGTAATTGAATTATGTTTGCGGCAATGATAATGGTTAGGAAATTACTATATTACATATTCTAGTATGCTGAGTCTCCTACTCCCTCCCTCCTTAGTTGTTGCAAACTCTTAGTATGGGTGATTGAGCCGTCCGCACGCTAATGGACCCTCCCGAAAGCGTGGATATAACACCCACTGGAATTATAGTTTCAAAGCAAGTACACTTAACCAGAGGTATGCTTTTGAATTTTTTCATATACTCCTTGCGACAAAGTGCATTTTCAGAGGTAGATAAGGCGAAGTCACGTGGGAATGTTGTGAATGCCCCAATGTTGTCAGAGTCACCGCCCTGAGAGAGGCAGCTTCTTCCTCTCCCTGCAAGTGATCAAGCCAGACGTGCATGAAACGTTCGCGCCAGCCGATGGCGTGATTCGCTTTGATCCTGCCGACTCTTCCCCTCTTTCCCATCCCTTCAGCGCCATTAACGTCCACTCATTAACCTGAACAACCGTCATCAATTGCCCTCCATGTCTCCGCACGATCAGTCGGAAGAGGAGGGTGTTCGCCGCCCGCTCCTGGCCGATTCCAGAGGGACCGATGGCACCGAGCCCGGAGCGGAGTCCACTGCCGCATTGGGCCCCAAGTTCACCCGCAATCTCGGAGCCATCGAGGCCTTCGGCATCGTCATCAGCATTGTGATCGGTAGTGGTATCTTCACTTCTCCAGGTTCCATCGACACAAATGTTCCATCTCCAGGAGTCGCGCTTATTGTGTGGCTGGTCGGAGGTATTCTGGCCTGGACTGGTGCCAGCACTATGGCCGAGCTAGGCACTGCTATTCCGGGTGAAGGTTGGTTCACTCTATTGCCATCAGGTATATCGACTGTATTGACTGTAAAATAGGAGGCGTGCAGCCATATCTTCGATACATCTACGGAGATGTCTTTGGATTTCTTGCTGCTTGGACTTGGATTATCGCCGTGATGCCTGCAACGCTGGCCATTTTGAGCATCGTGTTTATTGAAAGCATCTTCTCCGCGGCTGGTGTCACCGATCAGGCTGGAAGCCTTTCGCATAAGCTGCTCTCCATTCTTGTATTGTTGGTGATCGGTCTGGCCAACTCCATCAGTACCAAGGTCAGCACCCGATTGAATGGCTTTTCAGTCACGACCAAATTCATCGCCATTGCCGCAATTGTGGTGGCTGGTCTAGTTGTTGTCATCCTGCAAGTCTCCGGAATCAACCGCGATGCTGGGTCAAATGACTGGCTCAAGCACTCTTGGTTCGGATCTAGGAACACCTGGACGCCGGACGGTCGGGAGATCGACTGGAGCTCCATGCACGGGTGGGAATCGCTAGGTTACTATTCTACCGCGCTCTATGGTGCTCTCTGGGCTTATTCGGGCTGGGATAAGGTATGCATATAGCCCCTACAATGTGTCTGTGAAAATACTCACCATTTTTGACAGGCAATCTACGTTAGCGCAGAGCTCTCTGCTCCTGCTCGTCAGCTTCCATTGGCCATCAACACTGCCCTCCCCATTATAATTCTTTGCTTCCTTGCCGCTAATGCCGCGTACTATATCCTTCTTCCATGGAAGATCGTTTCGACCACTGACAGCGTGGCCGTCGTATGTCCAGCACCCTCCCATTGATTACATACGCTAATGACATACAGACCGCAATCACCCATCTCCTAGGTCCAGCGTTTGGTGTCCTCGCTGCCATAGTGATCTGCCTCGTGGTCGCCGGCTCACTGCTCGGAAACTCCTTTGTGGCCGGTCGCATGATTGTCGCGGCATCGAAGCTGGATTGGTTCCCTCGGTTCCTGGGTGTGCTTGGACACGTAGGAATGCCTCCTGACCCAGAGCCTCCTTCTCAGTCAACTCCCCGATCGGACGCGCCAATCAATGCCACAATTCTGGCCACCCTGTTGCCAATCCCGTACCTGCTGTTCGGAAATTTTCGCGCTCTACTCACCTTCAATGGTCTGGGAGAGTACTCGTTCTTCTTCTTGACCGTCTTAGGTGCCATCCTTCTGCGATTCCGGCAGCCTGATCTTCATCGGCCCTACAAGCCCTTCATCGCTATTCCGCTGGTTTTCGCCCTCGTCAGTGGCTTTGTGGTGGTGAGGGGAGCCGTCTTCGCACCTCTGCAAGCGGTAATCCTTATTTCGGTCTGGATTATTGGCATGGGGTTCTATTACCTTCGGGCTTACCTTCGGAGGGAGAGGGTGACTAGAAGAAGCGAATAGACTCGGGTAAAAGTGGAAGAATTACTCGCGATTCCTTCATATTCAGGCCTGCGTTTGGTAAAATCTTTCTGCTCGTTACAATATGGTTCTTCAAGACCTGATACACTATTTTGACACATACTTTGAATTGCGCGATGTACATCATACAAGACGATGATTCCATGGCAAGGCTTCATGTGAGGAACCCGTGATCGCTCAGGCTAGTGCAGTGTGCAGTTAAGAGGGGGGAGGGATCGGAGAAATCGATGTGCATAACTTCGTCTATGACCACATTAGCAAATTTAGTTTGATTAGAATTTTTCAGCTGCGCAATCGTGGTATATGGCTATATTAACCATGGATCAACACATAAACCCAATATCGCGCATCTTATCAATCAAAAGCAGCCTTTCTTGGCGAATCGAGTCTATCCGCAATCGTTATCGCCAGTCACCGCCCGCATCCAATTCTGTCCTACGGACTTCTTTTCCTTCCGGATGTGAATCAGATCTCTTGAACTCAATGAGCAGGACACTCTTTGTAACAACACGTAATTATCGATCAATTAACTAAAACCCTACCGATCACTCCGTCACAAATACCACCACCATGGACCAAACAATTCGCGTCGCTGTGGCCGTCTACGTCTTCAACAAACACGGCCAGACCATTCTCGGCCGACGCAAGGGGAGTCTCGGCGCCGGTAAGTCTTACCTTTCACCAATTGATTCCCTCCAGTAACACTTTCTACTTGAGACATTGCTCTAATTTGTCTCAAGGAACATGGGGTCATCCCGGCGGCCACCTCGAATTCAACGAGAGCTTTGAAGACTGTGCAGCTCGAGAGGTTCTAGAGGAGACGGGCCTCGAAGTAACTGACATACGCTTTCTCACTGCGATTAACAATGCCAATATGGAGGGAGGAAAGCATTATGTTACGATTTTTGTGGGCTGTAGGCTTGTGGATGAGGATGCGGAGCCGGTGGTATGTTTGTTTATTTCCCTCTTTTGTTTTGATTTCTGGAGTCATCTTCTGGTGGTCTTACTTGAGGAGCGATTTAATACTGATGGTTTGGTTCCAAGGTCATGGAGCCTGAGAAATGTGTCTGCTGGGAGTGGGTCACTTGGGATGAAATGAAAGTGACTATTGAGAGGCAGCGGGAAGCAGAGCATCTGGGGAAGATGGAGGAGTATGAGGGGAGGGTGTTGTTTAAACCAATTTTGAATCTTTTGCAGCAGAGGGCGGGATTCGATCCGTTGGAGATTTATCAGTCTGTTGGGCGGTGTTAATGGGTAAATTAAGTCTGGCGCTTTTGACTTCTCTGGCTGAATATCCCGGTATCAATAATGTAGATCAGCAGTAAGCGCTAATATTTGTCTTAACTTTCGCTTATGAGAGGTAACGAGCATGCACGTTATTTGGTGGGTTACTTTATATAGCGTAGATATAGAAGACATTGGCTAAGCACACAAATCAAAGAGCGAAAAGCACAATAACAGCAGAGAGGAAGCGCCAAGCAGAACAAAGTATACAAGAGCCATTCACTCGCGCGCATCCTAGCTTACGCCACGGCAGAAACACATTTGAACGCACCCTGGCTATCATCAAGCTCAGTCATATTGAACTGGATATCCAGGTCAGAATCAGCGAAGTCTGCCGCCGTGGCATAAGACACATCGAGTTCGGTCTCAGTTTCTTCTTCTTCATCGCCCAGCAGCAGAGCAGCCTTGGGGTAGAAGTCCTGCACATCGAAGGACTTGTGCTTCCACCCCTTTGGCACGATCTTCATGAGCTGAAAGGCGAACACAATATCATTTTCTGTCTTTCCTTGATGCTTGTCGGACTCCTTCGAATAGATTTGATTATCCGTACCAACACTGACATCGCCAATAACGGTTCCCGCTGTACCGGCTTTACCCCCGGCATTCGCCTCCTTGGAGCTGGAACGGCTTTCAGATACACGGAATCCCTTTGCAATCTTGACGCCAGTGATCATATAAACGGGCTTGGAAAACACACTATCCAGGCGCATCAGATCTCGGATCTTGCCATCTTGAGTGCGTCGAATGATCTCTTCATGGGAGGGCTCGTCCCTGAAATAGCTGGTTGTCAGGGAGTCGACGGTGTAGTCGGCATCAAGGGACCTGCTGCCCTCGAAACCGAGGTCGACGCCCATGGCGTTGAGGAAGTGGGTCCAAATGCTTGACTTGACACCATTCTCCCTTTGGTGATGTAGCGACCAGTCGGTTTCGACCACCGTTTCGATGGGAGCGGTCGGGATGTCTGGGTCGGGTCTTGTTAGGACCCGATGCGGCCTGAATGGGTCGACGATGATGTTCCCGAGGGCGATGGGACCATCGGGACGAAAATCCCACCTAGGCGCGAGGACGTATGTATACGTTCTCTGATGCATTATGAGTGGCAGTTAGGTAGAATAGAGGAGTGATGAGTTATAGGTAAGTTTGCTGACAGTATTGAAGGTTTTGTTGGTTTCAGAAGATAGATTGAATCATGGAGTTGCTTGAAAAACGATATCTGAAGGGCGAAAAGAACCCACCTTATATGCCTTGATCGGCATAGTTGATAGACGCCCACGAACTCCTACTACGTTCGATGAAACCAAGGACGCCTCAGCACGTTGTATAGGGCGCTTAGGCTCTCAGCGAGTCAGGGTCAATAAACGGGTCAGGTCATACTGCGGCGCATATATCTTCCAATCAAGAATTGACCTTTTTCGCCGACTAGGTATCTCAGCTCATCGAACACTTGCAGCGCGTAGTTTTGTTTCACTTTCATGTATAACTCAACGTGTTGTGTAAGGCTGTGTCGCCGAGTACCAATAATATCATCGTCCGGGTGCACTTGAAGGCGCTTATGGATTCCACCGATCAGCTCATGCATACTACTAGCGACAGCGTCTAACTACTATGTTGAATTGGACTATTTATGCCCCGTACAGACTACTGTTACTGGATGATTAGTCTGTTTATGCAAAACTCAAGGCTTTCTCTATGTCTCCTTGTTCATTTTTTTATTCTTCTATTCTTCCTTTCTTTCCAATTTGATCGAAGTGAGTGTCACTCCTGATATCTTAGTTTGAGTGCCCCAGAACTGTGAAGATCATTGGCTAATCAACTCTTTCCGCATGAATAAAATCAACCAGTATTTTTAGTAATAGTCATGATAGCCCTGGCAGGGATGAATTCACCTTTTGACGCAAATTCCTTTACTCTATTCATTTATGAAGGTGATACCGAACGAAGGAGGCAGCACCATATGCTAAACCATTTGCTATTGAGTGGTTAAAACTAAAGTTGTGGATATCCGGAGTTGTTGTGGAGGAGAGTTTAAAGGGGAGGCTGGGAACCCCGCTCGGTCGGAAAGGGTGACCAACCGGATCCACCTGTCTTCTCTACATGATTCAGCTTGCCTCATACCACCAACATCGTGGTAAGTACTCTACTCACACTATAACACCCCTCCTCCAAATATGTACAGACCTGTGCACGGGAGAATGCTCCGGCGTAAAAAGGCATGGAATCACCCAAGAGGAGCGGAGGTTATTCTGGAGTCACTCTCTCCACCAAAAGGCCCTGTGCTGGCCAAATTCGAACCGGACAGGGTGAAACCGTCACAAAAAGCCCCAAGCATCACCTCCTGCAATTATCTGGCATCTTACACACGGTTGGATTTAGGGGAATCATCTATTTTGATCCCAGGTATTTTTGTTCTCTACTACCACACTGCCTCTGGAAGATCTCAAGCTCACTAGATCTCAGGTCGACCTCCCCTTTGGACTCCAGTAAAGAAGTCTCTGAAGCTCAAGGAGACAGGCTATTCAAAATGGGCCAACCCAAAGCCCATAAAGGAACTTGCTTATCCCTGGGAGGCATCTTTTGAAGCCATCCGGCGGCAGAGTTCGAAGTATAACCTTAAACGTACCGACATCGTGACCTGCTCGGCCACCCTTAGAGATCTCTTCGATTTTATCCGTGGTCTAACTTCGGAGATCCGCTTTATCATGGAGCGCATTGGCAAGACGGTCGTGTTTGTTCGAAGAGAACTTCCCGCGCCGGTTTGGTTGCCTGAGTCTGACATCCAATATAAATACGAGGCCGAGTTCACAACGAGATACACTACGTGGGAAGACATAGCCGCTGAGTACAAGGCTCATCAGCGCATTGTTCGGTATAATTTCGCAGGCATCAATATGATCGTTCGCTCTGCGGCAGATGCCTATATTCCAAACCAGGATCTGGACTCTGAAGGTGGAAGCGCATCCACCGACACCGACAAGGCTAACATCAACAGTCTTACTGAAGGAATCAGCGGGCTGCAGGTACATGAAGGCGGCAAGCCAATTGCTCAAAACGAAATCCTCCACACCGATTTACGGTCCATGTACAATCACCATGGCCAACTTCGAAAGCTCCATCTAAACACTGTCTTCCCTCGACTCTGGGCATCACAAGTCTCGAACGTCGCAGTGGCATATCACAAGGAAGGGGTCATGAAGAGCGTGCGCGTATCAGAGATGAAGGATGAAATCTTAAAATGGGAGCGTGATAATAAAGATCATCTTTCGCGGCTGGCGGGTCTTCTCAACAATCTCACTGGTTATGCCCGCGCATCGCCGTCCAGACTTGAAGTTTGCCGCAGCTCTTTTGGGCCCCTTGAGATCCGTAAGCTTGCAGACCAGAATTCTCCAAAAGCTGTGTCGCCGGAAATGAGACTCTGCTTTGACAAATCGATAACAAGCCAGAGAGACCCGGCGACTAATGCATAGCGACGATATCAACGGAAACAATGCACCTACACCTGCTACTATGATTGAATTGCATATTTGACAAGCGCTCCACTCCTTACCCTGCTATGGGATCAGGGTACAATGACTGGCAACTGCCAGTATTGACTGTATATTAGTTTGCAACATTAGCCCTCAAGTGAGATTCACAAATAGAACCTCATGCTATTCCCTTTGCCACTATTTTGATTACATAACATTCATATTTCTGGTATATATCAGTCAAACGAATGGAAATTTAGAAAGGTGATATAATAAGATGTAGATACTCATTGCCATAGAAGAATATTAGGAATTCATCCACCCAGCCCAATATACAGCAATTTGTAATATAGATTAATGTTGTATATCCATTTAATACCTTCAATATAAAATCATAAATAAGTGCGTTCTGGCTGAATGAGGGACCAGCTTGTCTGCAAGATAGAACCCATGGTGACCATAACAACCACAGTCTAGCTTATTCCGTCTGGACAAGAGGCGCCTTCACACGACCCATATCTTGCAGCAGATCGACTACAGTTCTAAACCCAACATACTCAGTATGCTTGCGAACTTCCAACGTCCTACTTCCTGGTTCTGCCGTAATATCCTTGACCTGATAAGCTAATATGATAGGATCCTTCCACTCAAAATGATCAGACCTACAAGCACTGGCAGGCACCCTTATTCTCTCTTCCATGAAACGCACTTCCTCTTGAGGATTATTACTATAACCCATATTAGCCCTTCTCTCGGGCCACTGACGCCACACGCTATCCATAGTTCCCCCAGTAGCGACCTTAATACCGGTGATGATAAAAAGAGGCCTGGGCGCAGGATTACGACTTATGTCTCTGAGAGCTTCCCTAACTCTTGGCTCTGTAGCCCTTGTCCGAATACTCCCGAGTATGGACTCAGTATTGACGGTTGTTACCTTGAGAGACTTGCAGAAGGAGTCGAGACTGACGGCGTCACCACGTCCATAAATTCCAGGATATTGGACATTACTGACACCCCTGCTCAGAAGGAGCTCTGTATTGTCCATGTTTGGTAACTCAAATTCGGTGATGTTGAAGGCAATGTGCGGGTCATGCGTCGAGATGATTTTGTGTTCATTACATGGATCTTTGGGATCCAGGATGATGTTGAGCAATTTTAGGGGTCCGTTTGGCTCGATGTCTAACCTTGGGACTGGAAGCCATGTGTCGTCCCAGAGAGGAGTATCGAGCACGGCATCCTCGTTCATGGTTCGGACTTTAATGGCGATGAAGCGATGAGGAAATAACTGACAGGTCCGATACTGTACTTTGTGATTGGGATTATGAATATGTTGTTTAGCCCCCCCCGCGGCAAGTATGGCCTTCATATAGGAAATGCCATGGGGAATGATTAAACAATTCAAAGGAAGCCCCCTGCATTATAGCTAAGCCATACACGTATAGAATACATCGGAGCTACCGAAAGAACGCGATGTGTGCTGGCTAAGATAGGAAAAATCCGGCAGAAGTGGTTGGCTGGATTGTCAGGCTCTACTAAGTGACCAGGTGGCATCCGTCATTGTTCTTTCCTGTGAGTTCGGGGTCTCTTATTGTCGTCTCTAAAGCTGAAGCGCTAGGCTGTACTCGATGATAGCACAGATGGCATATGTTTTTCACAAGAGCCTTGCGAACAAGAAAACGATGGTCCGAAAAGGAAGCGTTCTATGGAAGTGCACGCTTTCTGTGGTTGCCTCACAAGAATGTGTAGCTTTAGCGCATTACAGGGGAAACAATGTCTTGTTCAAAGCTCCTACTTCATTGTGCGTTTCGGCATGCTGCTGGGTTGGGCAACAATAAAGCACCGTCATACTGTTTCATTCATGGGCTATAAGCAGACTTTGTTGCAATTCGTGCAGGAAAGAGATAGCCTGTCGGGCAGAAGCCACCTTTTCAAAAACTCAAGAATCCACAAAGTAGAGTAACATAAGTTGTTGAATCAAGTCAGTCAGCAGCACTTCGATGAGTGTGAGTGCTTTTATGGCAAAGTGTTGAGTGTCTGTTTAGCCTCGGTAATGACTATTTTTGGTATAGTGATTTTTGATTATTTGATCGCGATTGGATAGGCCGACCGGAGGATGATATCTTCCGCCGCCTTATCACCAGTTCACCACACCAAACACAATCTCGATTTCATTAGCTGTATAGAGAAAAACCTCGCAAGCCCGTCTTCTTTACCCTAGAAATGCCCTTCTCCCAATTAGGGCATACTTCTCTTTGCCGTAATAGGTCCCAATAGCCTGACTGTTTAGCCAGTTCTATTGAACGAATCCTTCGACCCCTCTCTCCACTAATTAAACCAAATGTTTGAACTCCACATCATAACCAGGGGAGACTGGTTGGGGTCCCAACGGATAGCAGATGAATTGAACCCTATACCCTGCTACCAGCGCAGAACTTCCTCCCAGTCATTTGCTCAACATCCTTTGCATCAAACCTTTCTAGCGATGAATCACTCGTAAACCCCTGTTCCCTGTACGGATGGTTCCGTAGAATAATTCCATTGGCCCCCATTGGGGAGGGACATTGTCACTTCCAATCCCAACCACTCGCTGCTGCTACTCTCATACTACGACTAATCACTGACCTAATGCTGGTCAACTTTTCAGTTGCGGAAATTGACGCCATGCCTCAGACTTAACGCCGGGCCTTTGGCTCAACGGTCTGCTCGTGCGACCATCTGTCCCTCCCATATATAGTAGAGAGCGCGCAGCTTCCGTCATAAACATTGTCAAGTACAGAGCACTATACTGTCCAAAGCCAGCCAATTACAATGCCAGGCGAAACCAATAAACCGTCTCCTCGAGACAGAGATGTCTCCAAAGTCCACATTGCCGACACCCCCATCACTCTCCGGAACTGGCACAAACATGTCAACTGGCTGAACGTGACCATGATCGTCCTCATCCCCCTTTACGGCTGCATCCAAGCCTTCTGGACCCCTCTACGACTCAAAACGGCCATCTGGGCAGTAGCCTACTACTTCTTTACAGCCCTAGGCGTCACAGCAGGTCCGTCCCTCCCTCATATCCCCCTCTGACATCCTCCTAACTCCGGGTATCAAACAGGCTACCACCGCCTCTGGGCCCACAGATCCTACACAGCAACCCTCCCTCTCCGCATCATCCTGGCCCTCGCTGCCGGGGGCTCCGTTCAAGGCTCAGCGCGCTGGTGGGCACGCCTGCACCGCTCGCACCACCGGTACACAGACACGGAACGAGACCCCTACTCCGTACACAAGGGTATCTTCTACGCGCACTTCGGCTGGATGATACTAAAGCAGAATCCGAAGCGGTTCGGCCGGACCGACATCTCTGATCTCAATGCCGACCCGGTGGTTGTCTGGCAGCATCGACACTTCCTGAAGATCGTTATCCTTATGGGTCTTGTCGTTCCGATGGTCGTCGCTGGGCTATGGGACGACTGGTGGGGTGGGTTCGTGTACGCGGGCATCCTACGCATCTTCTTCGTGCAACAGGCCACTTTCTGCGTGAACTCCCTGGCTCATTGGCTGGGTGAACAGCCGTTCGATGATCGCAATTCACCTCGTGATCATGTCGTCACGGCATTGGCGACAATGGGTGAGGGATATCATAACTTCCATCATGAATTTCCGTCTGATTATCGCAATGCGATTCGGTGGTATCAGTATGATCCGACTAAGTGGGCCATTTGGTGCTGGGGACAGGTGGGATTGGCGCGTGATTTGAAGATGTTTCGTGAGAATGAGATTGAGAAGGGGAGGGTGCAGCAGTTGCAGAAGAAAGTGGATAGGAAACGGGCTGAGTTGGATTGGGGGACGCCCTTGAGTGAGTTGCCGGTTATGGAGTGGGAGGAATTTGTGGAGAGGGCGAAGAGCAGGGCCTTGGTCGTTGTTGCTGGGGTTGTGCATGATGTTGAAGACTTTGTGAAGGAACATCCTGGTGGAAAGGCGATGATTCAAGCTGGGGTTGGGAAGGATGCGACCGCTATGTTTAATGGTGGTGTGTATTATCATTCCAATGCGGCGCATAATCTGCTGTCGATGATGAGAGTGGCGGTTATTAGGGGTGGGTGTGAGGTGGAGGCTTGGAAGAGGCCGCAGAAGGAGATGTAGGGCATCTTTATGTATGATGGTTTTGTTGTTCTGACTTGATAGACGTGTATAGTAGGGTTTGTCCCGATTAGGAAAGTCGGAGGTCGATGGAAGTCCTCATCACATACGTCTTTCAAATCGCGCTTCATTTCCCCGGCTGTATCTCCGTAGAGCATGATGCACGAAACCTGTCCAGTTCCACGTGCAATGCGACCGATAGAATCGTAACCTTTCTGAGTCAGTCCAAGAGTCCAGAAGCCGCGGCATGACGGCATCGCAACCCAGCGATAGCCATCACGGACATCCGCGGAAGCCAAAAGTCTATCCCTTCACTTGGTAATTCCTCCCCTCCGGAAGAACAAAGACACTTGAAGATTGATAAGCATTGCTACAAAGTATCATCATCACCGCCCAGGTTAAATGAGGTACCCCGTAAAATCCGACCAAGAATTGCCATTGAACCCCCGGAGCAACCGGGAGTTGACCTAGAGCTTCGTATCCACATGTTGAGCTCATTGCAACCCTCCACCGATGATTGCTCAATGGGACTTCGAGTTCTCCACCATGAATTGATGGTGACATCATGAAGAATATCTTCCCCTTGCTTAACCTACAGTATAAAGTCGGGTCCCTGGGGACCTCGCAGACGAAGACATTATTAGATTCCTGCAAGGTAAATCAATTCTAAATTTAATCACACCAATCAGAACCTCCATTCGACATCCACCATGGGCTACGATTTCACCGTCTTCAAAGGATCCAAAGACGGATCCATCCAGAAAGCCACCACCCACCGCGACGACCTCCAACGCGACCAAGTCCTCGTCCGTCTCACTCACTCCGGCGTCTGCTTCACCGATGTCCACTACCAGCATGCAGACATGGCCCTAGGCCACGAAGGTGCCGGCGTCGTCGAAGAAATCGGCCCTGAAGTCCACGGACTGCGTAAAGGCGATCGCGTCGGCTGGGGCTACCAACATGACTGCTGCGGTCGATGCGCTCAGTGCCTAACTGGTTGGGAGACAATGTGCCCGGAGCGACAGATGTACGGAAGTGCCAACCTCGACCAGGGGTCATTTGCCACGCATGCTGTGTGGCGCGAGTCGTTCTTGTTCAAGATCCCTGATGGAATTTCCAACGAGGACTCCGCCCCGCTGATGTGTGGTGGCTCGACGGTGTGGAATGCATTCCATGTGGGTGGTGTTAAGCCGACGTCGCGGGTTGGTATTGTTGGCATTGGTGGGCTGGGACACTTGGCTATTCAGTTTGCGGCGAAGATGGGCTGCGATGTTGTTGTCTTCTCTGGGAGTGATAATAAAAGAGAAGAGGCGCTGAAGCTGGGTGCGAAGGAGTTCTATGCCACCAAGGGCGCGAAGGAATTGAAGATTGGGAAGCCATTGAACAATCTGATTGTTAGCACGAGTAGCCAGCCGGACTGGAAGCTCTACGTTAATGTTCTTGCTCCTGGAGCGGTTATTTCGCCGTTGTCGGTGGATAACGAGGATTTCAAGTTCCCGTATATGGGCCTCTTGGCGAACGGATTGCGTGTGCAAGGCTCTATTGTTGCAGCCAGGCAGGTGCATAGGGATATGCTTGATTTTGCGGCGCTTCACGGTGTGAAGCCTATCCTGATGAAGTACCCTCTGAGCGTGGACGGCGTGAACGATGCCATAAAAACACTGGAGGGCGGAAAGATGAGATACCGTGGGGTCCTGGTTGTGGAGTAGATGCTCACTGAAGAGCGTGTTGGTGTTGGCGTGGGGGTAGTAGTCACTGTATTAAAAATGGCGTTTATTTGGAAGTCTATTGGGTATCTGTAATTACTGCTATGGAAATATGATGCCGAGATTCGTCGAATTCGATATTTGGGTTTCAGGAACATTGGCAGTCTCCCGAGTTCGAAATCAAAGCCACGTTCACCGCAGCGAACCTGGAAGGGTCAGCATGCTCATGACAAGTCTTGATGAGCGATAAATATTCGATGTTATTGAGGGGAAATACGAAGAGTAATAACTCACGCAGTAGCCGCGGCAAAGATCTCAACCCGTCGAGCCCTGACCATCAAGCCGAGTGCCAGGGAGAAGGCAATATTATACAGCATGATAGTGACCATCCTGATAGCGGTATCCTTTATAAAGTATAGCACTATCATTGACGATGCAGGCAGCACCGCAGCTATAATGACACTGAAGAAGTGGGTGCACGCCTTGATCTTCTTGTCACTATACTGCCAGGCGCCATTTTCATTGCTCTGTTTCAAAGGTAATTAGCTCTCTGATGGAAGACATAACCCAAGAAAAGCCCTTACTTCATATTTCTCACCCCAGCGCTTATGAAACCAGGGGACGACTCGATTGAAGATCAGTCGAGTGAGATTATCGACACCTTCATGTCTGCTAAAAAGGGCGATTATGTCACCATCGTTCCGTTTGTGGTAGACGTCCATCTCGGCGGCTGTTTCGAAGAACATATTTCCGCCTTCAGGCCGGTCAAGCCACTCTCGAAGCACGTTCAGGTCACATTTATCTGGCGTGCTGAGGCGCATGAGCTCCCGTTGTTGAATGATAGCATGGTCTACTCAGTCAGACCGGGGTTCTTCCAAGTACCACAAATGGGTCATGAAAACTAACTAAACTTTTCCATCAAATCCCGCGCTTCTTGAAATTTCGACCATTGCGTAGGATTTCCCTCTTTTAGGTCCCGTACGGAGAAGGGATACAGCTGCTTCTTCTCGTCCTGTGAGTCCTTGTCATCCTGAATGAGAAAGTCGAGCTCCTCTTCGAGGTTCGCTATCTCTGCTTGGTAATAGAGAATACTTTTAAAATTGAGCTTTGTGAAACGTCGGAAAATCGCTAGGCCCGGGTCGGCTTCTATGAACGCGGCGAGTTTGTCGTATCCTTCAACGGGACGGAGGTTAGCGGTTGACATTGTTCTTGCTTAATATGTATTCCATCATACTTAATGGATATCGATTTGGAACAAAATCAAAGCGATGTCTACTTATACGAATCTGCTCATCTCGTAGGCCTCGACCTTCTCAGCCTAGTGTACAAACATCAACGAGCCCCCCATGTCCTGTGTGGCTGTGTCTCGTCTACCCCTCATCCCACGGCCTTTAGGAAGCCTTAGAAACTGACTAGAAGCTAGTTCTATGCAGAGTGCGAAGGGAAGGCAGACTCGCAGATAACACCATCTCCTCGGGTAATATTTGGCTTCCGTCACTAGGCTTTTCACGTAACATACGAGGCTTTCTGCCTCCCTTCTGGGCTATCCTTGCAATAATATGGTGCATAGTCATGTTGTTATCTAGGTACCGTCCGGTGAGCATGGCATATGACGTGAGGCCTCCTCCCTTGGTATGCTGATGACACCAGCAGCCCTTTAGCAATCTCAATAAGGCTTAATGAGAGCGACAGCCTGATATGCTCCAGCGAAGCAATATTTGAGTTTCGTCCCTGTAATACGTTGTGATTCATGTGTTCTAATGTGCGCGCTAGAAGTGTGGTAGAAAGTTGCATTTACGAACCCCGCATGGGCGACTTGTTCTTCTATGACTGGGTCATTCACATGATAGCCGGTCTTACGTTGACAAGCCATTTAACGCATAGGGCAGCCCTGCAGGCTGGCCAGCACACTCTCTACTATTAAGCTCTGGAATACGTAGGTAGCAGCAGTGCCAGGTAGAAAAGTTTGATTCCGAACCAATCAGCCCGTCCCTGTGTTCTCCAACATATTGTATGAGATAGAGCCAGTCTTTTATCCCAGAAAATGTACATACAGTAAACGCCAGCAAGTAAAAACAGATCCATTCTATGGGTACATTAGTGAAGTCGCTATGTCTGTTTCGAATTATCGAGTCGTGTGGCAACCATAGGATCCACAGAGGAAAGATCGATAGCACGACATGAAGTCGTGCCGAGGATAACATCAAAACTGGTACCTTTAACAACATAGAATTCGGCACAGTATGGCGTTTCATAGCCAACGATAATCCATGTTGCCTGCACTTTCCCGAGGGGAGTCAATTCCCCGCGAGTGGTAAGTTGGGTTGGCGGGCCATCATACGGGTCCATGTGGACATTCATTCTTTCGAAGACATCGTGGTCCATGAAATTAGCTTCGGTTTCAAAGTCCACGACCATGCGTCGCCTCAATTGCTTGTCAAAAGTGAATAGGAGAATGTCGTAGATAAAATCACGTTTCAAAAGACCCTCCTGATCATCGTGCTTCCTTGGATTAGTAGCAGGCACGGTCTGATTAGCACCTGTTAGTCTCTCACACAATTCGGTGTGCCGGAAGCCCTCGCGAAATTCATGCGACACCTCCTTCTTGGCTGGCTCATCCAAAGGCATTTGAGAGTGTTTGACGTCCGCTATACCCCAATATTCAGGCGAAAGTGGGTGCTTTTCTGACGGGTAGTAATCCCGAGGCGAAGGTAGAGAGGGTTTCTGCTGCCTGTGCGTTTGGTTGAACCAGAAGGGAAAGAGAAACAAGTGTTTGGTTCCCTTCAACGCGATCCGGAGGGCCTACTTCGCACTTTAGCACCAAGTAAATTTCGTATGAAGCCAGAGAGCATACATGGCTTTTTATAGTTCCACTTTGATTGTGGCCATGGCCCATGGTCTTTTTGTAGCTTTTGTCATTTTTCCTCGACTTGCCACGCTCGCGTGGTGCCGTCGGTCTCGGGGCTGAAAGCCGGTCAATTCCTTGTCTGTGTTGCATGTTGCGGAGATTGCAATGCAGAACGACGGTTAACAGAGTAGCACTTACATGGGTATGTTCCGGGCATGGCGATGTCTGCCATGAAGGAATTCTAAGTCTATACAGAGGTTGGCTAAGGATTTGGAGCCATTACGGGCGGTCGCGCTTGCGATTGCCCGGGTGCGCCGGCAGTTATCAACCCTGGCCTCGCAAGAAGGGCGGGGGTTGACATGCGGTTAAGTCAGGAAGGGCTGGAAATGAGAACAAGTTTAGCTTGTGGCACAGGCACAACCGCTCTATCCCTCGCGCCTGACCTTATGTGATAATAGGTCCAAGAGTTTACTGGCTGGTCGGGTAATCCTGGCCTTTTTGGAATACGAAATGGAAGCACTGGAAATCATGCCGTGTCTGCAGCTCAGCCCACCTAAGAACATCGCTCTTATTCTGGCAATGTGCCTTGTCCAATCACTTTCATAATATGCGCTGCAGCTTTGCCCTCTTCTCCTTTGCATGAGCAGAACTAAAGGATTGCCTTCCCTGCAATACCGCATTAGCGTGGGGCCAACCTCTTGTAAGGTAGCCTTCAGCCGATCGTCAGACGCCCCAGAGTTGCATTTGCTCTGTCCAAAGTACATAAAGAGCCCAATCTGCTCAAGGCTACTCGATTCTTTGAACAGGGCTTTACAGTCCCTGGACCCCAGAAATTTCATCTTGCGCCACCTTCCAACACTCCCCCGTGGCGAGGCAGTGATGTATACCTGCTTTTAATACCCATCTGAGTGCCTTTCCATCACTGGTTTGTATGACTTTCATTGACCCCAACTACCCCTTGTGATCGACTCTCCTGATTGCTCGTTCCCTGACTCAATCCGAGAAGCCTCCGAGAATTTTCTTTTTACCAGCGGTGAGTAGCGCTGACTGTGCGGGACATCAGCCGGCACTTGACGGCCTGAACACCCGTCCGGCGAATGGCATAGCTTAGAGGCTCGACTATTTATGCAGGTGCCACCTGATATGTCTCATTTTGTCGTCGTGCAGCGGGTTTATGTGAGGAGATTGGATCATCCAATGCTAAGTACGACCGATCGTCCCGGAAGGACAAATCAAGTCCGTGTCAATCTCCCCGCTCCAATCCTTCGCCCAGAGTCCTTCGCTGTTGGAGGAGCACGCAGCAGGCCCCCTTCCCAGTCATTCTGCGTAAGGGTGATCTCATACATGTGACAGGTTGTTATCGAGTTTCAGACAGCAGTTATTCATATCCAACAGATTCAACAGCTCAAATGCATACAGATGTAGCCTATTTGCCGCCTCTGCGTCATCCTCACAAACCTGGCGATAATCCCGGCACAATTAGTCTTGCAAGTAGCACGCTTCACAAGTCCGCCTCGTCGCCAATCCAAGCCCATTCTGTTATCTACCCTGGGAAGCCTGCTTTTTCTGCTGTTCACGCAACTGTTGGTTCTTCTTCGCCAAAGCTTCCTCTTTCTCGCGCTTCTTTTTCTCCTGGGCTGCCTTATCATCTAGACCAGTGTTCAGTTTGCATCACTTCTTCGTTGGCTAAAAATATAAAACGATAGACTCACTTGCACTCTGCGATGCTAGCTGGGTTACAGCAACTGGGAGGGCATTCTCATCGCTGGACCGTCCAACATTGCACTGAGTCCCTAAAATCGCATCATACTGGGTATCCAAGCGCGCTTCATCGTCGTTCATGGAAACGTAGAAATTTTGTCTTGACAGTTTTGTTTCACCCTTCTTCCAAATACTCAGCTGGACTACATCGCGCACTGTGTATGAAACACCATCTGAATCGTAAACTGTTTTAGGTATCTCATTGCGCTGCAATTTGATCTCTCCCAGCTTCCGGTGCCCTCTTTGCGTGAGGATATTGACGTCCAATTGCTCAGAGACAGCAGCCTTGAGGTGGACGGTTTTCTCGTCTGGCCTGAGGCAGCGAATCTCTATGGTCTTGGGTCCTGTCTGAATAACGGTAACTGGTAAGCGCCTGAATTACGATGCAAATAGAAAGGTGGGAAAAGAGGATTCATAAGCCCTGTGTAAGGTACCAAACGTACCATGGCTTCGCGTTGGGTGCACTTGCTTGCGCTGTTATGGCTCGGTCGGTTCACTCCAGAGGGAGCGTCAGCTTCAAGCTGCTGTCTGTGGATGGCCTCACACAGAGAACGCTGCCAAGTTCATATAGACCAGACATTATCTGGACGACCCAAGAGCCGCAGCTTCGACGGACTGACTGACTGGCTATCCACGCGCAACCCCTCGTAGGTGGGATGTGCAATTGCACCATCCATCATCAATCCGTACTCCGTAGATCGCATGTACTCCTATTTTCTTCTTCCTTTACCCCTACCCTTTGTTTGTTACGCGAGGCTGCATATCTCTCTCTTCCTCTTCCTCCCTCACATTTTCTATCAACCAAGCAGCGGAGCCCTTGCCATAGTATACATTCGGCTCGCGATAATTCGGCATGTCGTGCAGATTGGGCATAAACGAAGACCCGGCTGGGTATTCATGCCACTAGCAGAAACCGACCCCTCACGATCATTGGCGACGATATGTTTCCTTTGCATGAAAGGATCGTTGCCGATGGCAGTGCGGGGATGTGCGACCGGAAGGAAACGAGAAATAGCTGCAGATATTCATACTACAAGCCGACACGGAAGTGCCACCCAGACAAAATGGAAATAAGTACGTAGTTGAGGATGACATGTCCAGAGTAAGTAATAATATTTGAATGTGTCACTGCTTGCGACACACAGTGCTCCCACGTATCGTTAATCAAACAAATATCCCGCGAATCAAATACTGAAACACGCCCTTGCCTTATCCAATGCTCTCCCAACCATCCATGATTAATTCCCTTTCCACAAAAACGCCGCCCAAGGTAACTAACTAGGTTCAAGACAAATCATCAATGCGCCTCAATCGGACATGTACAACGTAGACAATCATAAGTTAGGATACACCCCGTCATTAAGAATATGTCGGTCATTGACTGGTTGGAACCTTGCTGTGTCCGTGCAAATCTGGGCAGCACCTGCCCCGAAGTATATGTGTGATGCAATATCCGCAGCTGCCCTTTCGGGTATCACAATCAATCGTAAAGTACGTATAAGAATGCGTAGAGTCCCCCAATGGTAAAATGAGCTTGGTGCGCATCCACAATGGGTCAAAGTATCGTCATGCTCAAACATGACATGGATCGTATTCAGGCGCGGGACATCCGGATCGTCGTACGGCGTTCAAGGCCAGGTCCAGATTTGAGGATCTCCAATTTCTTGATATCCTTCCTTCCCAAGATGGCATTATAGTTCTTCATATCCACAACCAGGAAGTCACTGGTAAATGTCTTTTCACGTTGTGCAAAATGCCATGAGACGTCCTTCGCGATGCCAAACGGCTTGATTCGGTCCTTGCCGGTTTTGGTCTGCAATGGGACGAGTTCTTGATCGCAAGGCTCCATCATCAATTCCAACTCCTGCTGTAACTCAATATCCATCAAATTGGCTGATGCTTGTGTATCCAGTGCCATCAATGCCGAAACCTTGTTTGTAGGGTTGCTGCCGACCATGAATACCTGCTCGCTATACTCGCTGTTCGTTGAAACCGGGGAGAGGTTCACCTGGGAGATGCGGTCCAGAGACGTCGCTCGGATATATTCATCATCACCAGGTAGCCTGAACTCGGTTTGCGGGTCTGATGGGGTTGTCTGATCGGTGTTAATGCCTGCGCTGGCTAGGGTGGATGTTCCAGGAGACACTGCTGCGCTTATCCTACTACTTGACGAAGCGGAATCGGAGTTGCGACCGTCAGTTCTCCGGCTGGAACTCTCAAATCTGTATGAATCGGGGTTGTTGTACGTTGGGATGTCTGAGTGATTATTCTGGTCGTCCATTGCGGCACCATATCGCCGTACATCATGGTTTCGGTTCGACTCGTGAAGCTGTGGCCGTCGGTTCACTGTGGGCCCACGGCCATTCACAGGCAGCCTTGCCTGGGACCCCACGACAACGAGCTCATGGTTGGTTTGCCGGTTCCTCATCTTCACTTTGTCTTCTGACCTTTGTTGGTGATCGAATATTCTTCGGGGGTGGAAAAGGGAGAGTATGCGCTTCGCGGACTGAAGCAAGCCGCGAGTTCGTGAGGGCTTACCGGCGTCACTGGAGCTGTCTGAAGCAGGAACCGTGGTCAGTCGTGAGAAGGTTCCATATAATTACTGTGATTCAACCGATACTCACGACCTTTAGGTAGAGATATAGCCAAAGGGTTTGTCATTATGGATGTGGAATGCAAGGCCGTTGACTTGACAGCCTACTCCGCGTCGCTCTCTCGATGACGTACCCAACCAGATAGCTCCAGACGATGAGGAGCAAGGGTGTGGGTGTCTTTCAACAAGAGCTACGGACCTGGATACCAGTCGCGATAGTGCTGCCAGCTGAAGAAAAGCATGGAGGTTCCGGGATAAATGCCACCGCGAAGAGAGGCGGAGGAGGCAAGAAAGCTTTTTGGCAACACGTCTGAGCAATCTCCTGGGGCTTTTCTCTTACAGCAACGTTAATTGACAATGGAAGGGTACTGTTAGTCATCAGTGCCTGGGTAGGCTTGATTGGGCACTCTAATTGTAGCCCATGTAGGAGGGGCCCTGGCCAGCTCACGAATGAGAATAAGGGTCGGTGTCAGGGAAAGGATGTGTTGCCAATGAAAAGGTAAAATGATCAGCTTCGCCGATGTAACCAGGGAAGCGGCACTTGACTGTAAGAGCCGCCGCTTGTATGCTCAACCCGAGTCCTCTGAGGCCAGGCCAGTGAGCCCCGGGCTGGTGGCATCGGCGGAGAATGGAATGGGTTGTGGCTACTCTTTGATCCTTCGCCATGGTCACTTAAGAAAACCTCTACGGCATGATACCAGATAGCGTTCTTCACTACGGAGTAGTCAATGCCGCCGACAAATATGTGGGTCAACAGAGTGATCTCCTCTAAGGCTTGAGTTCTGACTTGGTGCGATAGTCGATTCTGTGCACAAGCATGAAGAGCAAGAATTCCCACCGGGTCGCAATGTGCATACATTAGCTCCCGAACTCCAGTCACAAAGACAATTGTTAGTGAACCTCTTTATTGTATTGCACTGCCTCTAATCACAGCCTCATACGGGCGGAGTCTTCCCTTGCCAAGCAGCTGCCAGGGTCTTTCTCTTCCCCTGCGATGATCATGAAGTTGTGCCGGTAGGCACTCTGCCGCCAAAGGCGGAGTCGGGGAGGGGGCAAAGAGCCAAGGCTGTCCTGCGTTGTCACGAATTGCTTTTTCTTTCCTTTCCCCTCACGGGTCCCAACCCATTCCTATCTGTTTCTAATCTCAACATTTCTGACAAGGCTCTTGTTTTGCGGTGTTCCTGCTGTCAGATTCGTCTTCCAGTCGTCGTGTATTGCTCTGGGTCTGGCAGTGAGTGCCCCGAACACTGACATGGAATCTCACATTGATAGAGTTTGTGGGGCTTTTTACTTCAGACGTGCAACGCATGCCATGCCATCTTCTGGAATTATTCCTCGGGGGATTTCATAATTACTTTGTTTTGCAGTGTCACACAGCCGCTTTTTCTCCTTCGTGTCTACTAAGGAACAGGTAAGCTGGGGGAGATAACAGCCATCTCTATCCGCCATAGGATGAAGCTAGTCGGATGGGCGTAGGTTTTGATTTTGACCTTTATGCTTATTGGTCTCTACACTATCTAACCTTTCTCGCCACTTCGACCGTGCAACAACCACCAAGCTGTTGTCATCTCTGTCAGGTGAGAGAGGACCTCTGAAATGAGGGTATATAGTACATCGGTGCGATAAATGCAGTGAGAGTGAAAAATAGGAGCAGGGTATTCCGCCCTGTCTTTGAAGGATCCGAGACGATGGAAAGAAAACTGAAAGGCTGGTCTGCAGCAGGTGGGTGGTTGCCTCAGCAGTCCCAGTGTCAGTCACACGGGGGGAGGAGAAGGGCACATGCACGCCACCGATTTCGGACATAGGTCCGGGTACGGGTTGGCCGTCACATCTGACAGACTGGCTGGCGGATAGTAGAGTTAATGATCTGCAGGTAGCTGACTCTGGTTCGGGAGAGAGCAGGACGGAGTACTCCGAAAGTACATTATTGAACCGATTGTTCATAACAATTAATTACTTGCATTCCGCAGCACAAAGCCTTTGATTTTGTTTCGGTTTGGTCTGGTCCGTTAGGTTGTGGTGGTCTGGTCTAATCTGTTTCAAGCGAACTCGGATGCACTCAATTAACGCCTCTCATTTGCCAGAGGATTGATTGATTGATTGGCTGATTGCATCGGTTCTGACTCGCCATATCGGGAATAGTTACTTTAGGGTTGACTGACTTAGCTAGAACGTTTGATTAGTTATCTAGAGTACCTACATTGGGCTTGGCCCATATTGTAGCCCCGGGCCTACTTTAGTCCAGCCTGCGGGCGTGCGTGGATGCTCCTTCTGCCTGTGACAACCTATGATGACAATGAAAGCCAAAACAAGTCGGTGAATTTACTAAGACTTTTAGATCTGAAGAAAAGGAGAAACGAGCTATCTATATCCTGAAAATTTTAGTTACCTCATATGTTTCAATATCTGATTATCTGCATCATACAATAGTCTAATCAAATGGAATCTATTAATAGTACAGTCATGATCTGAAAAAAAAATTCTTATACATCTCAATATCTTAGAGCAATACTTCTCTTGCGAGGTTGAGAAGAGAAGAATATTTTCATATTTTATTACCCTTATTGATTATATTTCGAGTCCTCATTTTCCAATATCCTTGATCCGAACCTCTTGAACTCGAAAATCCCTCACAGAGCGAACAAAGCCTTGTCCACTTATTTTGAGCATTGGTTCTTACTCCTCTAGCTGAGCCTTCGATCCATCTTGCACTTCCTGGTGCCATTGAAGCTCGCAGTTATTACTTCAGTGTTGCGCTTCTTGGCAATGCTTCTTTCTATACTCGAACCCTTCCCTTGAACATGTCGTTAGACCTTGCTAAGTGGGAGCTCCCTGGAGACAGCCCAAGCCAACAAGTGCCAGTAGTGCTCCTCCTAGCTGCGGCTTTTTTCGGGCTTCTTTTAGTAAGCTATCGTCAACGCATGCGAATCAGATCTCAAGTCAAACTAATCAATGACAGGCTGTGTATACCCACGCGTATGTCTTCGCAACACCGATCGCGACTCAAACACCCAATCCTAGGTTGAATTCATCACTCTCGCGCCAGCATTTCAGAGGTCTTCCCATCTTCGTCTTCCATCGGCTGGCCAAGATCTGTGTGATATCTATGTTCCCTATGAAGGACTTTAGTCCACTGAAGTACGGTTTTCTCAACTTAACAGTCGAATTATTCCTTTCATACCTGAGAGTAGCAAATGTGCTCACAATTCTGCGTCAACATTCGAAGACCCTTCCTTATTCATGTCGCATTCCAACGTGGTCAATGTGGTCGAAGGCCTTCACATCAATCTTACTGTATAGCACCGCCTCAAGTGTATGCTTTTATCTGCCTATCTACTTGATCCGATTGGCTGGTTCTTTAGATGAGCGGCTGGGGGTCTCAGAAACGGTGCAGTTTATCAGTCTTCTGGGCACTATTATGGTTCTTTACTTTGGATTTGTTGTTCCGACATATGCAATCTTCATTCGAGTCTCTGCCTCTGCCCAAAGGGGTGAGTCGATGACTATCAGAGGCGCCTGGCAAGGGTTTTCGTGGTCATCTCGGGTACACTTTTACCAACTACTTGGCGAGGTTCTATTCCTGGAAGCAGGTGTCACAGTCGTTATGATTTTGTCTGTGTTCGCTTTGGGTCATCCTACTGTGCATGATGATGTTTTTCAGCTTTTTGTTAGATACTTTGGGTAGTCTATTATCGTGAGGAGATATGGTATGCTATAGAGACCGAACTATCTAAATTGTATTTTTCATAGTGTGCTTATGATATATCTAAAGTAGATATCAATGTTTAAATGCAGAATCACTTTTCGAAATTCGCTCTCCGTTACTAGGCTATGTCGATTCGGGCAGTAGAAGCTACCTACGGTACGCTGCTTTCTCATACATAATCAGAACATATAAGGCAATCGTAATAGAAAAGAGAGAAAGGAAACCTCGTAGCCACCGCTTTCATCTGGATTATCGAATGGGGTGAGTTACCCGGCCTTAACAGCTAGATCCGATATCCCGGAAGTACCCAACAGATCACTGGGGCGGGAATGGCTGGTGCTTTTACTACTATCGGGGAAAAAAGGAACAGCAGACCAATCATAGGCTTGGTGGAGTTTATTAGATGTCATTGGTTTGGCTGCTACTTCTTTCTGTACCCTGGAGTAGTCAAGTGCTCGCCTCCAAGTACCTGGGGAAATTTACCTTTCAGTGCTACGATCACCTTATGTCTCGGAAAGTGGAGAGGTTTACTAAGTACTTTGTCGAGATTATCATTGGGTGGAAATGTCAAGTCTAGAAGGACGGGCCACATGCATGCCACGTCAGTTTCGGAGACTAGAGCGTTAGTTAGTTTATTGTAGAGTGACTTAGGGTGGTTTAGTAGTGGAGGGATCGCGAATGAAACAATTCCAATGTTCTTGGGTTTTACCCGAGTCGGGGCCATTGGAGTCTAGTTGCTTACTTACTTAGTTTAGAATAGACCATTCCGTCTTGATGCTAGATAGTTTAGTCTAGCTTATGTTGTACTTGGTGACTTAGTGTCATGGTTAGATTAGATTGCGAGCGAGCCCCTATTCCGTTCATGGTGGGAGGTCCGGTGTCGCTGCTGCTTGCTTGGCTTAGGTTCTTCCGTGCTTACGGGTACACTGCTCGTGCTTGTGCTGTTGCTGCTACTGTTGCTTGTCTTTCTTGTACTGCATGACATTTAGCTTTAAGATAAGAATGTATCTTGTACGAAGAGTCATTAAGTCATCACGCGAGCCAGTTACAAAGTAAAAGACTTGGGGTAATAATGTACATGAAGTCCAAACCAAATCCACAGATTCAATCCAGTATTATTGCAGCTCTCTGATTCACCATCAAAACAAAGGGGAATATATATCGAACGTTGTGAAAAAGCAAAAGGACAAGGAAAAAGACAAAAGAAGGGTATAATCATGACTCCACCTCCTCACTAACCACCCACGTCCTCACCTCCCGAATAATCCCCGCCTGACTGGACTGACTGTCCTCATCCGACAGTCTCGCTGCTGACACAGTCGTGATATTCCCCTGTCCAGCCCCCATGCCCATCAACTCGTGCTCGCCGCTGCGTGTAAATTTGCTCTCCGTGGGATTCGCCGACCGTGTCGTTGACCATTTCGATCGGTTATTCGTCGATCGGTAGTCCACGCCTTGGATCCGGAGGCCGTTCGATTTGAGCATGTTCAAGAAGGGTTTAAGCTGCGCCCAGCAGGCTGTCACGATGCTGAGGCATTGAATCGTTTCCACGCTGATGGTCACGCCCCAGGTGGAGAAGGAAGGGTCGTGTGTTGCGTCGTTCTGAGAGACTAGGATGAGTTCCACGATGCTGACTAGGATTACTCTGTTCGGAGAAGTGGTTTGGTTAGTTGGTAGTCCGGTCGGATGATAGGAGAATTAGACTGACAGGACTCGAGATAGAAAAATACTAGCGAACACGAACTTGCGTTTCCAGGAGGTTTGAATGCGCGCGATTAGGTAAAGCGCTTGTGAGGTGATCATGGTGTCGGTCACAATGTTCATGATACCCGTAAAGTAGTGCCATGCTATCTATTTGGCTGGTTAACCTTGTCGCGTATATCGTCGGAGTAGCGTAGGATAGTGGGATAGTACCAGGTTCATGCATTTCCCCGTGTAGTAATTCCAAGTCTGCGGTACGCTGCATTGAAAGGAGGTTCCCAGTAGACATATCACGGCCATCACAGTCACCGATATTTGCACCAAGTTGGCGACACGGTGGTCTTTGGCCGTCGGCGTCAGGTTGCGGATGAAGCATGAAAGGGAGATTTTCGAGAAATATAGACTAGGGATGTAAAGGAGAGCGGCGGCGTATTGCGACTGGATTGATACCGATTGTTCTCAGTGAGGATCCCGGGGGATGAAGGCGACCGCAGAAAGGCATATTGCATACTGGTGCAGGTGTAGCTCATACCTTCATCATATTGTCGAAGCGCTCCGGGGTAAGCGTGGAGTAGTGGTATCCATATCCGTTTGCGACGGCCATCGATACAGCGATGGATTGGCCGATACAGAAGATCTGTCGCGCCCCATCCAGAGCAAGCAGTTAGTCTGCTGGAGCCTTCGTGAGGGTCTAGGCGGCAGATCGACATACCAGCGATACAACTATAAGATAGTCATCGTTTGTGAAAGTGCGGAACGAGCCGTACTTGGTCCCCAGTCGGAAGATGACGCTCAGCGAAGCAGTCACGAGCAGGAACCATGTCGATACATTGACGGCCGGATCTTTGGTGTCTCCAGTGAACCGTCCCATGGAGGGCAATCAGAGTGCTGACGCTGATTCTCGGCGGGAATCATGTCACGCAACGATCTGGAACAGATGGAGATAATAAGAGTCGGTTGATGGCGCTGGGCCAGGGCTGCGAGACCGGGCACGATCTGGAGTAAATAATAATACGGAGTACCGGTGCCGAGAAATTGATCGATGCAGGGCCTGTGACTGAGGTAGATTATTTCTCACCCGGAAGCACCAGGGAAGGGGAAAGATCCGGGCAGTTCATTCTGGTGTGGGCAGAGAGAGGGTTCTTGGAAAACGCCCCCTCCCTCCTGAGGGAGGATGGGGAATCGCATGGCCAGCTAGGATCCGGATCCTGGTGTGTTCATTTGTCAACCGAGCGGCCGACATCAATTGGAGAAAGGCCAATAGACTTTGGCTACGCGCAGGGAAAGTCGGACCAGGATGGTGGTTGATTGCATGGAAGCCGACGGTGAGACGACGGCGGGGGACAACCCTGGTCGGGTTTAATTTACTCTGGGCTGGCCAGTTTTCATTCGTATCTTGGCCCGGCCTTCGACCGACGGATTAATTGTCTCCCTTCCAAGCATTATTTTCGATATTAATGTCTGTTATTAGTCTTCGCTCCGACCACGGTCCCGTCTTCCACTGATTCTAGATCGAACAGGTGAGCCTAATTTCTCTTATCCGACCTGCCTTTGTCTTGTCTCCCGCTCAAGCGATTCGCGGTACCGCATCAGCACTAGATCCTTGGATTGATCCAACACACGCGGCCAGACAAATTGAACTGTGCAGTGCAAGTGCTCACGGGGATCTTCTTTGATGTGTTGGGGTGTTTCTATTTTCCGATCGCCAACCTGGCATCCATGTCCATAAGCATAGAACTTTGGGGGAGAAAGCCACAAGCATTCACGGAAGGGAGGGGAACTGGAATGCTGGCCGGTCTAACTCGATCAAACTAGAATATCATGCGGTCGCAGAGGCGAGTCCCGCCGGAAGAATTGATAGCTGAGTCCGAGTCGGGCCCACCAGTCACAATTACAATTTGCCAGTCACGATTGATTCTGGCTCATTATCTAACAAGTTAACAAGTCCGGTGCATGCAAGGTGTCTGCGCCGGGCGGGGACTGGGGCCTGCCATCCACCCGTTCTCTAGTCTAGCTTATAACGCTAGATTAGCAACCCCCATTAGACACAAAGTAGTCTAGATACTGTTAAACCGGGGGTGGTCCCGATGGCCTCCACTTGCCACACACTGACCCTAGTACCCACAAGGTCCTATCGGTGGTTACATCTCCCCCATCGGGCCTGACCTGACCCGCCTCCAAGAAAGCTTACTGCGTGCTGCGTTCAGCTTCTGTTATTGTTCAGGGTCGTAGTTGGTTACCCCTGGATTCATATAACCTTCCTACTCCGGCTGGTGAGCCCGGCGCCCTCCGTACGTGTCCTATGTTAGGTTATGTATGGACGCCCCGGTGCATGCTAAGCAACGACACTAGGCACGGTAGTGGCGTTAGAATGCTGCATCTCGACTAACGGCCTTAATTTCTGCTGCATCTCGCTTCTTGACGTTGCAGTGGACTAGGTGGCCAGTTGTCTGTTATATTAATCGGTTGCTCCCTGGACACCGCGCTGCGTCTGCAACTCTCCGCCCTCATGCCGGTCGTGGTCTCTGCAATTGAGTTTTCACCATGGCGTCCTACGAATTGAAGAACCGAGCCAGCTCGGCCAACCGAGAGGTAACCGGGTCCGACTCGGGAGCGCGTGATGATCTGGCTCTTGCACGATTGGGCAAGAAGGCTGTCCTGAAGGTATGTCCCAGCTTTTCGATACTATGCTGTGGATTTGGAAACTAATGCTTGTCTTGTGCTCTTGCAGCGGAACTTTGGTATTCTCTCAATTATCGGTCTCAGTTGTACCATTCTCGGCACCTGGGAGGGTATTTTATCGTAAGGCCATCTATGGTTGTGAGAGTCTGGAATATTGCAACTAACCGAGACCAGGACGTTTACTATTCCCCTCGAAAAGTCGGTTATCCCACGTCCAGCCTCTCATCGGGCCATGAACGCAGCTGACTGAACAAACAGTGGTGGATCTGCCGGTGCAGTATACTCCTTTATTTTTGCATGGACGGGAACAGCCTGCTGTTTCGTGCTGCTGTCCGAAATGGCGTCCATGTAAGTCGAGGTCAGGATGTCCATTTCCGGGTAGTATACTAATCTGCCAAGGGCGCCGACTTCCGGAGGCCAATATCACTGGTGTGCCATGCTTGCGCCTTACAAGCATATGAAATTCCTCAGTTACATCACAGGTGCGCTCTTCCATTCTGTTATTACAGCGACCGTGCAGTTTACTGACCATCGTTGCAGGATGGTTGACCGTGATCGGATGGCAGGCCGCCTTTGCATCGTCATCCTACATGGCTGGAACTGAGATTCTGGGTGCCATTATCTTGGGTCGGAACAGCTTCAGCTCGCAGCCCTACCAGGGTACC